TTAACATTGTATTGTCACATTTAAAGTTAACATACATTTGGTTCACTGAAATGCCTTAGGAAAATACTTGATTGAGCTTTATCTGTATTTTAGGACATCAGTTTTGCAGATATTTTTAAAATTGATTCTGCTTTTTTAAATCTGTATTAAGCAAAGAAAAATACACCTGGAATAAATAAAATGATAGCCCTTTCACTAAACTATAAGGATTTCAGGGTCTCATTTTATCTTATTTTTGTCTTCAGTTAAATTCCTTGAAACTCAGTAGGTGCTCTGTAAATATTTCTTGAATGACCTATGGACATTATGGCAAAAACTACAGTATAAGTAGAGCCCTAACATTCTTTTAAAGATTAAGTGAATAAGGTATCCTTTTTATTGATCTTTTACATTTTTTTTTTTAGTCTCTGTGTCATTTATTTCTGCTCTGATCTTTATTATTAAGGTATCCTTTTTAGGTGTGAAATAGGGAAGGCTCTGAGTTGGTTGTTTTGGAAGAGAAGAGAAATCTTAGAATTCAAATCTTTGGATCTATTGCCCCTTTTTCAGTGTCTTTGATCACTTCTTTTTCCTAATCCTAGAGGAGAAAAAGACACTTTAAGTCTCTTTGTGGAGACACTGTACCTCATCAGAATTAAGTTTGCTAGAAATTTTGCAGTGAGTGTTTTTTAAAAATTTGACTCTATATTACTTGAATTAAAATTTCATGGTGCATCGTACTTAGTTTAAAAAAATGAGTTTAGCTAAATCATAAATACTCAAGTCATGTAAGAAAAAGGGTAGTTCTGCCCAAACCGGTTTGGCTCAATGGATAGAGCATTGGCCTGTGGACTGAAGGGTCCCGGGTTCGATTCCGGTCAAGGGCATGTACCTTGGTTGCAGGCACATCTCCAGTGGGGGTTGTGCAGGAGGCAGCTGATCGATGTTTCTCTCTCATTGATGTTTCTAACTTTCTATCTCTCTCCCTTCCTCTCTGTAAAAAATCAATAAGATATATATTTTTTAAAAAAGAAAAAGGGAAGTTCTGATAGAATTACATAAAGGAAAAGTTTGTAGTGAGATAAACCAGGCATCACCACTTAGGGTTATTTTTCTCTTTAATGACCTCTGTAAATCAAGAGTCTCAATTTTTGGACAATCTCATTTAAAACAAAAAAAAACAAAAATTGATTTTTTACCAAGAGGAAGAGAGAGGGATAGAGTTAGAAACATCCATGAGAGAGAATCATCGATCAACTGCCTCCTGCACAACCCCCACTGGGGCTCCAGCTTGCAATCCAGGCATGTGCCCTTGACTGAAATTGAACCTGGGACCTTTCAGTCCGCAGGCTATCTGCTGAGCCAAACCAGCTAGGGCTGGACAGTCTCATTTTTATAAGTGTTTTATTAATTGAGCCAGTGTGTAGTGTTTACAGTTAATGGTGGTTAAATTTTGGTCTATGGGCTTTTCTTGAAATATATTAATTAATTTATTACCGGATATTGTGGTCGTTAGACACAGTTTCTGTCTTTCTGAGTGTCATTTTAGTAGTGGTAAGGATATATTCTTTAAAGTTGGAGAATATTAAATTTATAGTGCTGACATTTATTTGAGAAGAATATTTGGTTTAGAGACTACTAAAAGAACAGGGAGAATTATTTTTTTATTTTATTTTATTTAAGTAAATTTGCTTTTTTTTTTTTAACTTTATTGATATTTTACAGAAAGGAAGGAAGAGAGATAGTTAGAAACATCGATGAGAGTCATCGATCAGCTGCCTCTTGCACACCCCCTACTGGGGATATGCCTGCAACCAAGGTACATGCCCTTGACCGGAATCGAACCTGGGACCTTTCAGTCCCCAAGCCAACGCTCTATCCATTGAGCCAAACCGGTCCCGGCAGGGAGAATTATTTTTGTCTAACATTTAGTCAACCAAGGATATTTTGATACTGTTTTCAGTAAACACGTTGTTTCCTTGATAACCAAGCCTTGGATTGACTTTTCATTTTTGTTTGTGGGAAAGAGTCGGCTGGCTCCTAAGGAATTTTATCTGACTAGAAGGAAATATTCACAACACAGAGAACCTTCAAAGAAGGCCTGGAGTGCATTTGTATGTTTAGGCCATTGACTCATGGCCCTAAAAAAAAAATAAAAATAAATGAGGACCGCTCATATATAAGTAACAACTTAATTTAGATTTTTGTTATTTTAAATGGGAAAAGGGAAGAAAGATCAGGAGAAAGTCTATTAAGGGAAAGAGGGAGGGAGCAGAGAAAAGGCATGAGGAGCCTGATATACAAGCTCATCCAGATCTGTGCAGCTGGCCCCAGCTGGCCTCTCTCTCTTGCCTAGACCAGGTGTCACTGTGGGGCATGTAGTTTCAGGGCAGAGGCAGGCACAGCTCTGACGGCTGATTGGAGGGTCAAGGAATGCCAGTGCTGAGGGTAAAGAGCTGGACAAAGGTAGGAAATTTTAATAGTTAAGACAAAAACTTGGCACTGTTCATTCATTTAAAGATTAATTATCTGCTGTGTGCCAAGCAGAGTAACATAAAGCCGTGATCACTGGTCATGGAGCTTTTATTAAGATAGAATATTACCTAAATGACTCCAGAGAGTTGTTATTTAGATCATGGGATTTTTTTCTTTTTCTTTTGGAGCTCAGTTGCCCAACCTTGAATTACTTATAGACCTCATTTCATAGCTGTGCAGCAAATTACCCTAAACCTAGTGATTTAAAACAAGCATTTATTGCCCATGGTTTCCTTGGTCAGGCTCTGGGCCTGGCTTAGCTGGGTACTGCTGATAGTCTTTCATGAGCTGTAATCAAGGTATCTGGGCTGGAGTCATCTCAAAGCTCAATGGGGAGGAGCCGTTCCAGGCTGTGGGCTTGTAGTACTTGGCAGGATTCAGTTCCTCAGGGCTACTGGAGTGAGGCCCTCAGTGCCTCACTGGCTGGTGGCCTGGGGCCCTCCTTAGTTCTTTGCCATGTAGAGCCTCTGCACAGGGCAGCTCTCAGCCAGGTTCTGGTTTCCCTTAGAGTGGTCCAGCAAGAGACAGCAAGAGAGCACAATGGAACTCAGTCTAATCTCAGAAATGACGTTCTGTTATTTTTGCATATTCTGTTTTTTACAAGCTCACGTTCAAGGGGAGGTGGTTACACATAGGTATGGCTACTGGGAGGCAGAGGTCCTCGTGACCCTTTTCAGAGGCCCTCTGTGATGTTCAGTGGATAGAAGGCCCTTCTTTTGTTGTATTTGTTGTTTCTTTCCTACTCTTATCTTCTTTCTCCACTCATATTTCCCTATCTTATCCTTCACAGACACTTATATACTTAGATATTCTCAGATGTTTATGTAGCCTTTAAAAAATGTTTTATATAGCACATATAAGTAAATAATGGCGTTTTTAAAAATCCTCATCCATGGATTTTTTATTTTAGAGAGAGAGGATGGGGGAGAGAGAAAGAAACATTGATGTGAAAAAAGAAATATCACTGGGCTGCCTCCCATACCCACTCTGATTTGGGATTCAACTCTCAACCCAGGTATGTACCCTGACTGGGAATTGAACCCGCAACCCTTTGATTTTCAGGACAGTTCTTCAACCAACTGAGCCACCTGGCCAGGGAAGATGTATCTTATTTTTAATTTGTAAAATGTATTAGAATTTACATCTTGTTCTGTGTATAAGATTTTTTTCTGCCCAACCTTGTATTTTGATGAACTATCCATGATGCTATTTGTAAAATTTACTTCCATCTGCTATGTGGTATTCCATTGTATATATCCACCACTTTTTTTTTTTTTTTAATCCATTTCCCTAGGTAGATTGCCTCCAACTCCTTGATTTCCCAAACAATTAATGTCATTAACACCCCTAAACAAGTCCCTATTCGATCTGTGTGAGACTTTCTCTCTGTGGAATACAGAGGAGTGGGAGTGCAGGGCATCGGATGTATGCATACATAATTCCCCTTAGTACTGCCAGATTGCTCTCCAAAATGACTGTACCAGTTTATACCCACAAATTATATGTGCAGGTCCTCCCCCCCAAAAATCCTTGGAAATACTGAATATTATTGGATTTATTGTTATTTTTTAAAATCTGGTAAATGTAAAAGGGGTGTCTTTTTGTTCTTAATTGCATTCATCTGTTACTAGTATCTGTACTTCTTAGCCAGCTTGAGTTTTCCCTTCTGTGAATTGTCCATAATGCTCTCTACCCATTCTTGTGTGAAGTCCCTTTGTCTATTAGTGTGAGGAATTGTAAGGATGGATTTTCTGATCTTAAGTTATTCTTGCATTCCTGGGATAAGTCTTCCTGATCATGGAGAAGGGGAAGAGGAGGAAGAGAGACGGAGGGAGTGAAAAAGACACTGTTAGCTAACATTTTATTTAGGACTACAGGCCAGGTGCACAAAATTCATGTACAGATAGGGTCCCTAGGCCTGGCCAGTGATCAGGGCCAGTTGGGGCCTTCTGGCTGCCAGCCAGGGCCTTCTTTCCCTGGCTGCTGGCTGCTGGCTGCCAGCCAGGGCCTTCCTTCGTTCTGTGCCACCCCCTGATGGTCAGCGTATGTCATAGTGAGCAATTGAACTTCCACAGGTACATTTTGCATATTAGCCTTTTATATATATTAGAGGCCCATTGCACAAAGAGATTTGTGCAATGGGCCTTCCTTTCCTTGGCTTCCAGCACCGGTTTTCCTCCAGCACCCAGGCCGTCGCTCCGGCCGGAGTCTGCCAACTTCGTTTTCACTGCTTCGCTGCAGACTCCAGCCAGAGTCTGCCATCTTCGTCTTTGCTGCAGACAAAGAAATTCCTTAGTTCCCAAAGCCAAACCCTACCTATGTGTCAAAACCCAGGTTGTGTCAAATCTCCAGTGTGGGGTGTGCAGAAGGCAGCCAATCAATGATTCTAGAAAGTATACTTTAAAAAAATTCTTTGTAGTACTTATTTTTAAGAGACATATAATATGAAATGTTTCTTTCTTTCTTTTTTTAGCTTACATGTGAGCATGAGTCTTCTTATGATTAGTGAGAATGTAAAATTGGCTCGTGAATATGCATTGCTGGGAAACTATGACTCTGCCATGGTCTATTATCAGGGAGTTCTTGACCAAATGAACAAGTATCTATACTCAGTCAAAGACACGTACCTCCAGCAGAAATGGCAACAGGTGAGAATCACGACTTATGTATCTTTTAAATGGTTTAAGTATTCAGGAGATTTCAGTTATCAGTGCTTTTTGCAGTTACACATTGCGAGGGTATCATTTGTTACATGGATTTGTATATAATGTTGAAATTTGATTTATTATATTAGTAATAGTCTATATTCACCATCATCAGTATTATAAGCTCTATTTAATTATTTTAATTGCTGGAATCTAATTTTTTTAAGTAATGGTTTTCAATTTTTTTTTCTAGATCATGTTTTTATCTGGTAAAATTAGAGTTGATTTTATTAAGCCATTTTCAAAACTTCAGATGACACCTGAATCTCACGGATACCATATTTTCTGTAGAACAGGATAAAACAGACCATACTTGAATTCCATTTGAGGAACATTAGTCACCGAAGACCAATAGAAATTCACAGGTGCAAACTGTAGAACTTATAGGTACAGTTGAAGGTGGCATTTATAATAAGGTTCAACTATGTCACAGAGGAAAGAAATGTTACAGAAATTAATAATATTTTTTAAGCTGGTCTTCTAGGTAGAATAGTATCCGTTGGATTCTACTGAACTGCTTTTTAAAAAATAGTATCCCATATTTGTCCTTAATTTCTTTAAAAGAGAAAATATCCTACTTTTTAAAATGTAACCTCTTTTCCTAAATCTGCCTCTGCACATCTCTGATGTTACTGGAAGGGGAAAGTATTTCATAAGGAGTTTTACTTGTCGCCAGGTAGTTTTTCTTTAAAAGTCTAAGCTTTTTTGTAAAGATACTTAAATCATTTAGTTTTAAGACAAAACATTACCAATTTAATTTCTGTGTTTCATATATATATATATATATATATATATATATATATATATATATATATATATATGTTTTAAATTGAGTCAAGATCGCTTTTAAGCAAACATCTTGGTTGTATGTGAATCGAGCCATTTGTCTCCTGACGCTAAATTGCAATCCACTAGTGAATTATGAAATTAGTGGATTCTAATCAGCATTTAAAAATTGTCAAATAGCATAAAAAAACCATCAAAGTATAGCTTAAAAAATATTATTTTACCAAACTTTAAAATTACATCTAACTTTTTAATTTGTTATGCAATTTGAATAAAAACCATAAGTCAGTAACATGGCTTAATTAGCAAGAATATTTAATTCATTTTATCAGAATTAATTCTGCAATTAAAAACAATAAATTAATGAACCATTATTAAATCTTAACAGAATATCTTAGTGTGATTTATTGAATATTTGATGTCAAAATGGAGGTTTCTTTTTAAAAAATTGATAGTTAGAAAGAGGAAGGGAGAGAGAGAAACATCAATCAACCGCCTCTGCATGTGTCCTGACCACATATCAAACCTGCAACCTGGGTATGTGCCCTGGCCGGCAAACAAACCCACCACTTTCTGGTGTACTGAATGATGCTCCAACCAACTGAGACACTCCGACCAGGGCAAAAGTGGAGGTTCTAATATCTCTAATAAAAGGCATAGTTTAATCTTGACAGTGATTTATTACTTATAAAAACATAAATATCTGTATTCTCCTATCAGGTGTGGCAGGAAATAAATGTGGAAGCTAAGCATGTTAAGGATATCATGAAAACACTAGAGAGCTTTAAATTAGACAGCTCTCCTTTGAAAGCTGCACAACATGAGCTTCCTGCCTCTGAGGGAGAAGTCTGGTCCTTGCCTGTACCTGTTGAACGAAGGTAAGGAGAGACCTTTTAAGAAAGACATGCCTTTGGGGGAAAAGAAAGTTTATTCACTCTTATCTTGTATGCAGTTATTGCCTTGGCTTCTTTAGTTCATGGATTCTTATACACTATTTGTGTTCATCTCTATTTGGACCAACTCCAGGGGTTGATTATGATTTTAATGATCCTGTGTTTGATTAGACCCTCACCAGGTCCTAGAAAACGCCAATCTTCTCAAAACAGTGACCCTAAAGCACACAGTAACCGTCCAAGTACAACTGTCAGAGTTCACCGTCCATCTGCACACAACCTTCAAAATGACAGAGGGAAAGCTGTGCGTTGCCGGGAAAAGAAAGAACAGAATAAAGGAAGAGAGGAAAAGGTAAATGTTACTGATTTTCAAAAATGAAAAAGTTACTTTTTAACTTTAAAAATGAAGACTACAAATTTTAATATTTTTTAGTCGTTGAAACTACCAGACGATGGCAGCTCTTTCCTTGGGCCTGATAGTTCACTAAGGAGCTCACAGAACTTAGGAAAGCAGTTTACTTACTAGATGGCTGGCTTATTAAAAGGATACTTGCTGTTCAGGAGCAGCTGATGGAAGAGAAGCATAGGGCGGGGAATGAGGGAAGGGACAGACTTCCAGGCACTCTCCAGATTAACTAACTCTTTTAACTGAGACAGTGGATTTGGATTTTGTGTCTATAATTTTGTCAGTTTTTAAAATAATTGTTTTTAAACCCAGGGAGTTATATTCTGGTTAATTGGCCATCTTCAACTTTATTTTGAGCATCCAAAAGGAGTCTACCTTTAAAAAATCTCTCACTGCTTTCTTTTACCTCCTGGTAGCTGTTAGCATGTTAATTTAGAGCAAGTTATTGCATAGGTGTATACTTACAGAGAATTGTACTAGTTCAGCTAAATCAATAAAATCCTATTAAAAAATGTCAAAATTTGAAATGCCATAACTTCTCTTTCCTGACCTGTTATAGAATTGTTTCTCCTTTCTGCTTAGCTTGAATTTGTTTTGCTTTGGCTACAAACATTCTCTCAGCACTATGTTCTGTGGGAGAAAAGAAAGTGAGAATTAGAAAGTGCCTTCCATATGTATCTTCCTGGGCTTACTGTGCACTTTTCAATAGTCAGGGACAGTGTCTTCTTTCTACCCCCACAGCTGCTAGCACAGAACAGATTCTTGGTAGATAATATCTGAGTGAATAACAACTTCATAAATACTTAGAAGAAAAGATAACCTCCTCTTTTAAATGTTAAACAGTGCCTTTCTTATACCTTTTATGCTAGTATTGGATACTGAATAGTCTGTAAATTGTGCAACAGATTTATTTAATCATCTAGTGTAAGACTATGAATATCATAAATATGGATTAAGTCTAGACATTAATGTTGACTGTAGAGAGCACCATTGACAAGTCATCATGTTATGGGCAATGAAATGTTATGGAGATGGGATAATAATCCTAATACAAGATCGAGTAAATGATTATGTACACTCACGCAGAGCTTCATAAATTTTTGGTTCATAAAATTCATAAGTGTCTCAATAATTTTTTCCACAGCACTCCTAAGACAAAAAGAATACCTACTACTATTTATGAGGAGGTTAGGTTCAAAGAACTTTGTTTATGTCCTATCAACACCTATTGGACACTGTAGATTTCTCAGACCCTGCAGGCAGAGTAGACATTCTTATTCCTCTTCCACATCGATTTTTCTCATTATATCTCTTATCACAGCTATAGTAAAAAACCTAGCTTTCTAAAATATGGCATTTCTGAAAGGAATTAGTAGTCTTCATGTAGAAAACTGAACTACTTTGAGTTGACAGTTCATCCAGTGTTCAACAGTTGTTGCCATCCTATCAAAAATTTAAAAAAGCAAGTGGGGGCATCTGTAATACTGTCAACAATTTAAACATTTTTGTTTTAAATATCTTTCAAGTGCCCTATGAGTTTGCTATCATGCCCTGGAATACTTAATATACATTTTGGATCTTTGGCCCTAATGACTGACATCACAGGATGGGAGCGGATCTCACCTAAGGACTGAGATGTCTCTTTTGGAGGGGGGGTAGGAATAGTGAAAAGGGATGTTTAACAGTCACCTGTGACTGATACTGTACTTTCCATCCAGAAGACAAAACAAGCTGGGCACTTAACATGTTAAAGAACATGAACAAGGACTGGTTAAAGATTGAGCCATAGTCTTAGTTGAATAATCCATCTGTCTTTAACCTTATCTCCTCTGAAGCTTTGAGACAAATATCACACAGATCTGAGTTTCACTGGTGACCACAGTTAATCTCAGTATTAATTTTTTTAAATATATATTTTATTGATTTTTCACAGAGAGGAAGAGAGAGGGGTAGAGAGTTAGAAACATCGATGAGAGAGAATCATCGATCAGCTGCCTCTTAGCACACCTCCTACTGGGGATGTGCCTGCAACCAAGGTACATGCCCTAGACCGGAATCGAACCCGGGACCTTTCAGTCTGCAGGCTGACGCTCTATCCATTGAGCCAAACCGGTCCCAGCAAATCTCAGTATTAATTTTTTTTATTCTCATCAGTTCATGTGCATAATCTTTTTGTTTTTAACACCACTGTCATACTTTTTTGTATAAAAATTAAATATTGAGGATGAAACTCTGATGCAGAAGGATGACTGATAGTCTTTGATTCTGCCCTTATTACTTGTACTATTATATTAGCTTTTTAAAAAATAGCACTTGACTCTAATTTTTTTTCTGACTCACAGAAACAAAATACAATTTTTGAGTCAATCAAAAGCTCTTTTTTTTTTTTTGTCCCAATGTAGAACAAATCACCTGCTGCAGTGACAGAACCAGAGACCAATAAATTTGATAGTACTGGATATGATAAGGATTTAGTAGAAGCTTTGGAAAGAGATATAATTTCTCAGAATCCCAATGTTCGATGGTAAGTTATAATAATGAGGGGGGTGTGCTGTTGATGCTTTTTGGGATAGAAAATGGAGATGTGGGCATGCATTGAAGAATAGTCCTTGGGAATAGAACCAGAGTCCATGCAATGAGAATGTTACATATAATGCAAAACTAATTCAGGTTGTACCAAGTTTTTATCTGAGACTTTTAAATAAAATAAATAATAAAATAATAATGTTTTATTAAATGAAAATCTTAATTTTAGAATGGGAATAAGATCACAGAACTTTCATTCAAACTATGTGTGGCCTGGCTGGTATTGCTCAATGGTTGAGCCTCAACCCATGAACCAGGACCGTGGTCAGCAAACTGCAGCTTGCGGCTCTTTGGCCCCTTGAGTGTGGCTCTTCCACAAAATACCACGGTCTGGGCGAATATATTTTGAAGAAGTGGCATTAGAAGAAGTTTAAGTTGAAAAAATTTGGCTCTCAACATTTCAGTCATTGTACTGTTGATATTTGGCTCTGTTGACTAATGAATGAGTTTGTCGACTACTGAACCGGGATGTCATTGTTCAATTCCTGGTTAAGGCACATGCCTGGGTTGTGGGCTGGATCCCCAGTAGGGGGTGTCGCAGGAGGCAGCCAATTGATGATTCTCATCATTGATATTTCTATCTCTCTCCCTTCCTCTCTAAAATCAATAAAAATATATTACAAAAAATACTATGTGTATAGTAGTGGTGGTAATTTTGTGATTGCAACTTCATAGCAATTTCTATGATACCCTTTATCCTTGGTAACTACCTCTTCATAGAGTTGGGAGCAAAGCAGCAGTATTGCAATGCCCTTTTTATTTTTTATGATTTTTTTAAAATGGGCTCATTGTTTTTAAATCATGAAGTTGATGGAATGAACATCAATCAGAGCAAGAATTTAAAATGAGATGGCATAATAATACTTGAGTGGGCCTATCGATCTGTGTTCTCATTCGCCATGTTGAGAATCATCACTGATAAAAACTGAAAGTACAGATTGTGCTTTTATATGGTTGGCATCGTCTCATTCCAGTGTTTTAGTTCACTAGAGCCAAAGGAGAGCATACTGTCAGCAATGTCAAATCCCGTGCTTCCAGGGGTTAAATATATACTCTAAAAGGTGGTTTATAAAATATCTTCTGTTTCAGGGATGATATTGCTGATTTGGTAGAAGCTAAAAAGTTGCTTAAGGAAGCCGTGGTATTACCAATGTGGATGCCAGAATTCTTTAAGGGCATCAGGAGACCGTGGAAAGTAAGTTTATTATGGCATGGTCAAAGTTAATGGCCAGTACATTGCTATAGAAAGTCAATGTTTATCTGTTTTAGGTGAAGTGAGCAGAGAAAGTAGTAGAGTAAGTAAATAAAATTTAAATTAAAAACAGTATGTTGTGTTATTCAGAATTTTGTTTAGACCAAAAACTGTTTCTAGGTTCTCAGAATAATAAGTACAATATGATCTAGAAAAGTTAAACACATGGCAGATTTAGAATGAGGTAGTATTTGCTAACATAAACAAGTTGCCTAATGTAAAAACACTATTTTATGTGTCATGTTGCAAACTTGTATCCTATTCTTAAGAAATTAAGACATATTTGTATCTATTAAAGATATTTTTCTTAAGAAATGAGGCATATCTATATTTAATAAGCACTTTTTAAGGTCATGGGTCGATCTGAAAAGAGACTGTCAAAAAACTCTTAGATTTGGAAAATATGCTAATAGCTAAGCACTAATTTTAAGTCTTTATTATTTACTTATTTACTTATTTTTATTGATTTCAGAGAAGAAGGGAGAGGGAGAGAGAGAGATAGAAACATCAATGATGAGAGAGAATCATTGATTGGCTGCTTCCCGCAAACCCCACACTGGGGATCTAGCCTGCAACCTGGCATGTGCCCTGACTGGAAATCCCTGGTGACCTTCGGGTTCATAGGTTGATGCTCAACCACTGAGCCAGGCCAACTGGGCAACCTTAAGTTTTTAAATGTGAAATGATAGCAAGATAAAAATTATAAACATTCTTTGAGTATAAATATGTAAAAAACAACAACTAATTTATTTGAGTAAAAAGAATAGCAGAAAATATATCCAGATACTATAATATAACAATACCTGTGGTAGAATATTGTAATATCAGTATTATAATATTGATTATATTTTTTTCTTAATTCTGAATTACATATTTTAAATAATGCTTTCTTATACTTTTGTAATAGATAAATTTGTGATAAAGTATACTTCTGTTTACTTTTCTATTTGTCTTTTGTCTGAATATTATGTGTAAGTTGGTTGAAAAGTGATGCTTAGTAATGGAATTCTTGTGAATTAGAACACTGACAGATAAATCCTCCATTTACACTGTTACATTCCCAACAGGGAGTGTTGATGGTTGGCCCACCTGGCACGGGAAAGACCCTCCTTGCTAAAGCAGTAGCTACAGAATGCAAGACAACATTCTTCAACGTCTCTTCATCAACGCTGACTTCTAAATACAGAGGAGAGTCTGAGAAGCTTGTTCGCCTTCTGTTCGAAATGGTGAATGTTTGAGACAGCTCTGGTTCTTTACCTCTAAAAGGGGAGAAAGTGAGTTGTCACTCTCTCCAGTGTGTAGAATAGCTAGAAAGAATGATGTTGTGCCAGAGTATGATCCTGTGCCCCTGAAGCTAGAATCCTTTACTGCTGTGAATAACTTGAGTTGCTCTTCATTCCCTTTCCTCTGGAGGAAAAGCCACCACCTTTAGCTTATGTGCATGCTCACATTATGGGATTTGACTTACTAATCTGCTATAGGAATTTGAAATGGTGTTTTTAAAATCAATAGGCGTAGTTATAACATGGTAAATACAGTATGTTAATGCAAAAAGGTGAAAATCATAAGTAGTTGTGGAACTTAGATCACCTCCAATCTAAGTTCTTTGCTCCATACTTTGAGTTTCTTATGTTCTTCTGCTCCCACTCATCTAGTATCAGTAGGAGAAATGTAATTTCACAACTTCTGAGTTGAATTCAGTAGACTTTGCTAAGCTTTACTGATTATTTCAGTCTTGTCCCATTTAAGAAGTGGTGCTGCTATAAGTATGAGGACACATTCTTATTTGCAGATAGTGACAAAGACTTGCATTTTTACTCTTGGTGGACAGAACTGGGACCATGCTAATATTACACCAAATCTTCCTTCCTAGGCTTAGGATAAAACAAAACAGCAAATGTCCTCATAATTTCAGGTTATTTCTTATAAAGGCTTCTTCTGTTTTCAATTTCTGTTTTATTATTCCTTCAGTTTTGAAAATCTATTAGGCAGGATGCAAATTGTAAGAAGTTCTCAATGGCTTACTAATAGCACATTCCACAGTAATGAACCTCTGAGATCATTTTGGAAAATTAGTTTTCCCTTAGCTTCTGGGGCAGGGTGGTGGGGGAAATTATATTGCCAGTATTCCAGAATAACCAGGCCTTTAAAAATGTTATAGGGAGTGAATGACTAAATGTGGGAGTCGTTAGAGTCGGATGGTGTGGGTTCAGATCCCACCACTGTCACTTTCCTAGCTGGCTAACTGTGGGCAAATTCCTTTCCTGATCCTCAGTTACTTCATTTACTAGTTTAAGAGGCCAATAATAGAGGACCTACCCCTGTAATGTTTAGTGGGTAAAACAAGCTAATACACACAAATTACTTAATACAGAGCCTGACATTTAAGGACTCATAGATATTAGCTGAAGTGCTAAATTGCATTTTTTCTTTTTTAAAATATATTTTTATTGATTTCAGAGAGGAATGGAGAGGGAGAGAGAAATAGAAACAACAATGTTGAGAGAGAATAACTGATTAGCTGCCTCCTGCATGTCCCCCACTGGGAACTGAGCTAGCAATCCTGGCATGTACCCTTGACTGGAATAAAACCTGGGACCCTTCAATCCATAGGCCGATGCTCTAGCCACTGAGCCAAACAACCAAGGGTGCATTATTTTTATGAGGTTTATGAAGCCCTCTCCAACAGCTTATTTTTTAAAAGTATTAATAGTCAAAAAATGTTATTGATGTTTAGAGAGGGAGAGAGAGAGGAAGAGATAGAAACATCATTGATGAGAGAGAAACATCAATTGGCTGTCTCCTGCATGACCCTTATAGTGGATCCAACCCACAACCGGGGCATGTGCCCTGCCCAGGAATCAAACTGCGACCTCTTGGTCCATGGGTCGATGCTCAACCACTGAGCCATGCTGGCTGGGCTGGACTTTTTTTTTTTTTTTTTTTTTAAACCTTTAACTTGCTGTTTATTTACTTCAGCTCTGTTTTGAAAAATCTCTGTTATCAATTAGTTCTTTCTTGTGCTGTGATTCTATGTTTGAATATTTCATTTTTTATTTTTTAAAATATATATTTTATGAATTTTTACAGAGAGGAAGAGAGAGGGGTAGAAAGTTAGAAACATTGATGAGAGAGAATCATCGATCAGCTGCCTCTTGCACACTCCCTACTGGGGATATGCCCGCAACGAAGGTATTATACATGGCCTTGACTGGAATTGAACCTGGGACCTTTCAGTCCGCAGGCTGAAGCTCTATCCACTGAGCCAAACCGATTTCAACTGGATATTTCATTTTAAAAATGATTAACAAAGGAAACTTTAGTTACCGTAATAAATTGCTTCTTAGACTCCTTAAGAGTGATACTATTGAGTCTTACATAGCTATTTACTAGATTAATACTTGACTAGATCTGTTATTTAATGGATTAGTCTTTCCTGTTCTGTGGTTTGAGAAAGAATGCATTCAAGGTACAAAAATAAACTTGGGAGGTGTTATTCAGCCATAAGACAGAATGAAGTACTGTACATGCTACAGTATAGATGAACATTGAAAACATTGTGCTACGTGAAAGAAGCCAGACCCAAAGAACACATACTGTATGATCCCATTAGAAATGTCCAGAATAGGCAAATCGATAGAGACAGAAAACAAATTAGTGATTGCAAGTTGGGGGAAGGAAAAAAGGGCTGTTTTTGTGGGTCAATGAAAATATTTTGATATTTGATAGTGGTGATTATTAATATTTTGATATTTGATAGTGGTGATTACAACATTGTGAATATACTAAATCGTACAATTTAAAGTGGTTTAAATGGTAAATTTTATATCAGTTTTTTCTCAAACAAAAAAACTTGGGCCATATAAATTTAACCTTCTAGTTCACTATGTAAGAGGATTTTAAAAAGTACTTGTCAAATAAAAAATGGCAATTAGAATTTCTTAAAGGGAATCTATGTAATTTTACTTAAGATAATGATTCTCTTTAACCAACTTTTTTCTAGAACTTTAGAACCCTTAACCATTATCTGTAAATGTTTTCCCACCAGTTGTTAATATTTTTGTAGTACACAGGACAATCCTGTATTTATATGACTCACAAGTAAATATGTAACGTTATAGTATTGAATGGCAAAAAAGTTTGCTATATAATATTTGAGTAAGTCTGTACTAGAAACTATAGTTTAGCTGTTCGTTTTATCTTCTCCCCCAATAGTAGGACAAGAGGGAAAGATACACAGTGTGACAGACTCCTCAGCCGTTTTGTGGTTGCTAAACTATAAATTACTTTTAAATGAAATAAAAACTGGTGTTGCATGGTTTCTTTCTTTAGGCTCGATTTTATTCTCCAGCCACCATATTTATTGATGAGATTGATTCCATCTGTAGTCGCAGAGGGACTTCTGAGGAGCACGAAGCAAGCAGGAGGGTGAAAGCCGAGCTGCTGGTTCAAATGGATGGTAGGCATGTGTAGATGCATGAGTTCACCAAGCTCTGCTCATGGTGCTAGCCCACACAACTCCCCATGAGGGGGGGCTGCAGTGTGACAGCAGTAAGTTGGTACACTGACAATGGAGTCATGCCAGATATGATGGCTCTTCACAGGCACCTGCGGCATATATGCTGTTCTCTTATTTTTAGCCATGCATTTGAAATAAATGCAGATAAATTTGCCTGAGAGGTATATGTATGCTTTTGAAATAATAATAAAAAAAAGTATGTCGTTGAGCTGGTCTTTTGAGTATTTTGAGTCATATTGTTTGCATACTGTAAGAACTTTTCTTGGACCAAAGTTTACATGTGTACCAGTTGGTTTTAGAAGTTTTAAAGAGGCTTGACCATTATACTACCTTGTAAAGTTGTGCTAAATATTTGATGATCTTTAAGTAATTGAACTTTATTTTATATATCTGAGTTATCTTTTTACTCTCTCCTCACTCTTCTTTTAGGTGTTGGAGGAGCTTCTGAAAATGACGACCCTTCCAAAATGGTTATGGTTCTAGCAGCTACTAATTTTCCCTGGGATATTGATGAGGCTTTAAGACGACGCCTTGAAAAAAGAATCTATATTCCATTACCATCAGGTATCTTCATGTGAATCTTGTCAGAAAGCTCATGTTAACTTTTCATTTTTCTTAGAAATTTTAAAACTTGGTATTAACTTTCTTTAAGAGACAAATGTGAGACGTTTTTCCTTCTTTTAATTGGCTTGGCTATATCTAGAGCCTGAAAGCCTTGGTATTAGGAAATGTAAAATTCAGTGAGTAATAGCTCTTACATTTTTAAGCAAATGAGCTCTAAGAGTTGGTAAAAAACTTCTCATACAAAGTGGACTTGGAGAAAAATAACACACTGTTTATGTGGAAGGCTTATATTTTTTAATTTGTTTCTATCACTAGCAAAAGGCAGAGAGGAGCTATTACGAATAAGTCTCCGTGAGCTGGAATTGGCTGATGATGTTGACCTTGCACGTATAGCAGAAAACATGGAAGGTTATTCAGGTGCAGACATTACCAACGTGTGCAGGTAAGAATTATTTTGAAAGCATAGGTTTTTGTGGGTCTAAACTTATGATGTGTTTATGCCAAGTTAAGATAAAGACAAACTTTATAGTCTACAGTAAAAGACACAAGTTCTGGTATTTAGTTAGTGTTAGCAGATGCTGGTACAATACTGGTATACCTTACAGGTCAAGTATACAGTTCATTTGAAGTTCAAGAAGCTAATGTTAGAACAGTGAGTGTAAAATAGAAAATCTGTAATTGTCTTGGATTAAAATGACTTTGATGCAGTTGTTTAGTATACTGTCATGAAGGAAATAGAATTGTGAAATAAATTGACTTGGCATACCCAAGTAGAGTACAATCTGTTTCATTGGAAATGTCCTAAATGTGACAGGAATAGGAGTAAAAAAGAAAAAAGACTGCCTCTAATCCAACTTATTCGTAAATTTTATTCTAGTCCAAGTATTAACTCAAATGATTTAGCAAGATGCTTGATTTAGTTTCGTCCTCTCAGAAGTGAGCCTGTCAGTTTAGGGCTCTTGTGAGGATTACCGATAATGTGTGTAAAAGCCATATGTTGCCATCCCTTTGCATAAGTGGTGGCTGCTATTAAGAATAAAACTTGATGATAGAAAAGAGGTGCTTGAATCTAAAGTTTCTCTACAAAATATGAGGGGGAAAGGAGCAACTGCCTAATTGGATCAGGTAGCTTTTCCTGGACATGTAGGAAATATATTTTCCTAGTCAATAGGTTTTCATTTAGTCAAAATATCACTTAAAAATTTTAAAACCTAGGGATGCATCCTTGATGGCAATGAGAAGGCGCATTGAAGGTTTGACCCCAGAAGAAATCCGCAATCTCTCAAGAGAAGAAATGCACATGCCCACAACCATGGAAGATTTTGAAATGGCTTTAAAAAAGGTTTCTAAGTCAGTATCTGCTGCAGACATTGAAAGATATGAGAAATGGATATTAGAATTTGGATCATGCTAATTCTCACATGTAAACTGTGAGAAACCTGCCTTAAGTATTTGAATAATTAAATGTAGTATTTCATTGCACGGAGTGCTATATTTTTTTAAACTTTCATAATGGTAAGATTTTTTTTTTTTTAAACCATATGATTCTGAATAAAGGCAATTTTTTAAAGCTGTAAGCAGTTTATTTTACTTTAACAATGCCTACGTAATTTCCTTCACTTACTACAAATGTTGTAAAACAGACGCTGTTAGTTTGGAAAACTATCTTTATATGCACTTCTAAGTATAGCATCTTCCATGTCCATGGCTACTCTTTCTTCTAGATAATAAGACTGGCTCTAGCTCCTTAGGTGCCAGTGGAAAACTGAAAATTCCAGAACATTTTTACACAAGTAGCCAATTGAAACATGAACCCAACCCAGTGTTCCTTCCTGCCTGTGTTATGGTACCTTTCCTCCATTTCCTGGGAGATCTTTATTTTTAAAAAAAATATATACTTTATTGATTTTGTACAGATAGGAAGGGAGAGAGATAGTTAGAAACATCGATGAGAGTGAGTCATCGATCAGCTGCCTCTTACACACCCCTACTGGGGATATGCCCGCAACCAAGGTACATGCCCTTGACCGGAATCGAACCCCGGACCCTTCAGTCCCCAAGCCGACGCTCTATCCATTGAGCCAAACCAGTTTCGGCACATTTCCTGGGAGATCTTTAAAGATCCTTCATTTCACTTTGCATTTAAAATGAAGAAAAAAAAACATGTATCTATATACAACCTTGACTGACTTTATTCTGCCTGCCTAAGAAGCTGCACTATAAGCAAGTAGATCCTTCTAAGCCTATGCTGCTCACTGTATTCTAACGAAACTCATTAATTCATTGACTCAGGATATGAAGCATAATTAAAAGTTGGTGATGTAAGTAAAAGTGAAATACAAGTTAATGGTATAAAATTTTAAATAAGATTCCTATTTATAATTACTTGTAAAAGACCCAAAAAACTTATTGTATCATCCCACAGAAAAGAGCCTCAAGAATCCTGAGTGCTTTGCTGTGGTCCTCACTGGTAAGGAGAAAAGGCAGGGTAGGCAGGGTAGGGATCTACTGACTGCAAATCCTGTACACACCGATTGGCCATGTAGCCTTCTACATTGCTCTCACCAGAGTCTACCAGCTTATGCTGAATGGATGAAATAAGACCATTATCATTTGGAGTCAGAATTGGTGATTTCTAGCAACTTAGAGGGGAAGGACAGAAAAAAAATAGTGACCAACTGGGTGACTTTAGGATCTAAATTGTATGCTATTATTTATAATATGGAGGTAGTACATTTCACAGGGCTGTTATTCCTTATTAAAAACAGGCAAAATCAAGCATCACTCCTTCACTCTCTATCTGCCATGCTTCTCCCATACATCCATATCTATTTAGCGTAAATATAAAGTGGCTTTAAAAACCTGCCATAACTTTCTTGGACAATGTGTTTAAAATGATGGGTTGCAATAAAAACTTTACTGATAAAACAGAATAGAAGGTATCTATCACATGGAGTAAAGATAAATACTGTATGTACTAGAGGTCACACTGTAAAATATAAGTCAATAGGGTAATGGTTAAAAAAGACCAAGAAAAGGAAAAAAAAAAGGCCAAACATTACTGTAGGATAAATAGCACTATATTTGGAACCATAATGTATATTCTAATTCCATGATACTGATGGTCCTTTAATGACTTGAATGTTGGTTTCAGCCAGTGCACACAAAAGCAGCTATTATATAGAAGCAATTCTCACTTGGGTAGTTTTTAAGCCAAAAAGACTATTTTTTCCTCAAAAAAAGTTTATTTTAGAATGAGAACATGTCACTTATTATTTTTAAATCCTAGTGCATTCAAGGCAAGTGGTCTTGGTACAATGAAATCATGATACACTTCAGTGATTTTTATACTGAGTCACAGACAATATAAAGGCACATTTTACTGAATAAAAAAATAAGTGTTAAGTTCTTGAGCTTTTAAATTAGAATTTCATAAAGTGCTTTTCATAGTCTTATATATTATAGTAATTAAGTGGATATAATTTCCTTAACAAAGGCACCTTGTAAAGTATTGGCACATGGCATTTTGTCTTGCCCATTTCCCCCCTTTTCTTCACTTGTCTTCTCTTCCACTTTAAAATTTCCTTAACAACTCATCATCTGAATAGCCAGCCATGTTAAAGAATAAGGTGAACTTTAACTTGACATTTTAAAGGTCAAGTTTTAGGCTGTTTTAGGAGTTGAGCAATTTCTCTAGTGTGTAAACTGATTCTTAATGATTTAAAGAAACATTCAAGTGGCAAATTTAGAGCCAATAGTCTAATTCAGAGTCCATAATTTGAGGTGGTATTTCAAATACATGTTTTATCTTCAAGGATTTCTGCTGTTTTCTCAGGACCATCTGCATATAAGTTGACAGCTGCCACAGGTATAATGTTAACTTTATCCAACGGAAGAATTCCTCTGAAATACAGAAATTAAAATTGGTAGTAAGATAGGGCTACTTCAAGGTTATAGTGAAACTAGAGGCCCTTTGCATGATATTTGTACAAGAATAGTCCTTCCTTCCCCTGGCTTCACTCCCAGCGGCCTGGGAGCCGGCACATCCCTGTTCCAGGCCCGCTCTGGAGCCGGCAAGTCCTAGCTTTTGTCTGGCGCACCGTTCCTGTAGCTCCTTCCACTGTCCCCTTCCCCCTCATAGCCTGTACATGCAAATTAACCTGCCATCTTCGTTGGGTTGATTTGCACACTCTGATTGGCTGTGGATATAGTGGGGAGCATAGTCAGTTTACATGTTTATCTATTATTAGGTAAGATATATACCTGGGGTTAGGTGCTTCGCTAAATTTTTTAAAAAAATATATATTTTATTGATTTTTTACAGAGAAGAAGGGAGAGAGATAGAGAGATAGAACGTCAATGAGAGAGAAACATCGACCAGCTGCCTCTTGCACACCCCCTACCGGGGATGTGCCCGCAACCAATGTACATGCCCTTGACCGGAATCGAACCTGAGACCTTTCATACTGCAGACCAACGCTCTACCACTGAGCCAAACCGGCTTCAGCTGCTTTGCTAAATTTTATCTAGTTTATAATGATTGTACAAACTCTTTGAGTCCAAGTTCACTTTAAGCAAACTGAGAAAATATAAAGGTCTAAGAGGAAGTTTCTTAGTACTGTAGGAAAGGAAAGGGTAAAGAACAGATCTCCAAGACAGGTAGTTAGAGCTCTAAACTTGCACAAGTTGGGCAAAAAGTAGAATTACCATATGACCCAGCAATCCAACTTCTGGGTATTTATCCAAAGAACTCCAAGACACAAATTCAAAAAAATATGCTCCCCTATGTTCACTGTAGCATTATTTATAATAGCCAAGGTATGGAAACAACCTAAGTATGCACTTATAGACAAATGTGGTACATTTATACAACAGAATAGTACTCAGCCATAAAAATGAAATCTTACCATTCGCAATAGCATGGATGGACCTAGAGGGTATTACACTAGGTAAAATAAGCCAGACAGAGAAAGATAAATATTGTATGATTTCACTTACATGTGCAACCTAAAAATATTATAATTAAAACAGAAACAAACTGATACAGAGAAAAAAAAATGATGGCTGCCAGATGGGAGAGACTTTGGGGGGATGGGTAAAAAAGGTGAAGGAATTAAGAAGTACAAATTGGTAGCTACAGAATAGTTTCAGAGATGAGAAGTACAACTTAGGGAATATAGTAAATGATACTGTAATAACTATGTATGGTGTCAAGTGGATACTAGACTTATTGGGAGGATCACCTTGCAAGTTATATAAAAGTCTAATCATTATGCAGTACACCTGAAACTAATATAATATTGAATGTCAGCTGTAATTGAAAAATACAGTAGCCACAACTCAGTTATTAATTACTAAATATACTAATGTTTCAAAAGTAAAAAATACTTACTTGTATTCACAAACTGGGAAAAGCACCTTTAAGATGGTTATTACTATAGCTGCTCCTATAATTCCAACCACCATGATGTTCAAAAACATAAAGAATACCGGGTAAACACTGTTCCAGAACTTGCACAGATCTTTTCTGAACTTTTCCATCCACTGACACATAACCTAAAAGAAGACTTTTGATTAGATGTGAAAGTTTCATTTGAGTTCTAAGAAACTTTAAAAATCATATTCTAATTTTGGGGTAATAATATTCTGTATCTTGATTGGGATAGTGGTTACATGGATGAATTTAACTGTTCTTTTCAATGAGTGCATTTCATTTTAAACATACCTCAATGAAGTTACTCATAATTTTTGAAATTAAAATTCTAAGACACAGAAATATTTCTATCTTTTATACTTTTTAAAAAATATATATTTTATTGATTTTTAAAAGAGAGGAAGAGAGAGAGATAGAGAACTAGAAACGTCGATGAGAGAGAAACATTGGCCAGCTGCCTCTTGCACACTCCCTACTGGGGATGTGCCCGCAACCAATGTACATGCCCTTGACCGGAATCAAACCTGGGACCTTTCAGTCCGCAGGCCGACGCTCTACCACTGAGCCAAACCGGCTTCGGCATTATCCTTTATAATTATTTATACTGTTCTCTAACTATACACCAAGTGAAAATAATTGCTAACTAATCAGAGGTTAGGCTAAGTCTATTTTATACAAAATGGACTGGAGTCAACTATGTGTTTTCAATAGTTGGAGGACAAGAAAAGGAAAAGAGAATCTCAGTATTAGCTCTTGGAACACATGGGGAATCTGTTGTGTGCAAAACATGTTGCTATAGTAAAGAGAGAAGATAACGATACTAAGGCAGCACTGATAGCCTGGGCTTTGAAAGCTCTCTGTACTTGAGTTACCTTGTTCTGAGGATAGTGTGGTAGGCAGGGTAAAGATACGACATAAGAGTTCAGGTAGCAAAAAGTGACCGGGTTTTTTTCAGCAACCCCAATCTTGAGTGAGAACTTCTAATAATCATCTCTCTAGAATCCTAAGACTAACCACAGACCCTGCTCATTTAAATGGAGATTATTTTTAGTAAAGGACTTATACCATATATACAGAGATATCAGGATACTCTCTCTGAACCCTGAATATTTCCCAATCAGCAATATGTCATTCTCAACATGTAAGTACTTAGTAGGTGCCAATGCATATTTACATCTGTACCCTTTTATTAATCCTTTGAACAGCTGCATCAAATAGGCACTGCTTAAGTGGTGTCCCATTGCACAGATAAACAGAGACCAGGCTTGTCCAACATCACACAACTAGTAAGAGGCAGGCAGAACCAGAATTCAAACCTAGGCAGTCTGACTCCAGAAAGTGCACTCTTACCCAAGTGAGCTTAGTCACTGCGCAAGGTCCTAAGGGCACCATGCATGTGTGTGCAGCAAGGTGGGAGTCATAAAATAAGCAGACAAATGAGGTGAGAAAGGCATTAACTGAAAATCCAAAACAAAATGAAATCCAGTGCTTTGATAATCATTATTTATTATTAAATGAAACTTGAAAAAGAACAAGTACCTAAAAATACCACATTAAAACAGTTATGAATTCATTATTAACCCTGTCCCATGGTTCCAATCCACATGCTTTTCATTTCATTATGCTCTTTTCTTAAAAACCATAAATGTTTATAATGTGAAGACAATCCAAACATCTAATTTACCTTATAGGAAGATGGAGCCTCTGCTCTGAGAGGAGTTTCAGGTAATTTGCCAGGTAAAGCATCGCCATCTACGGTGGTTTCCACATTCCTAATAAGATACTGGCTGGTGGTCTGTAGTGAACTCACACTTTCTACAGAGGAGGAAGAGCCAAGTTACCAAAATGCTAGGCGCATGTTGGTTCTCTCCTACCAGTCCCAAGATTGCTATGCCGGTAACATTTAGATAGCAAGAATATAAATCTTTCCATGGGAGAAACATGAACGTATTTGGTTACTCAGATTTAAGTGCAAGAAAGGAGGCATAAACTAAGACCATTAAAAGGAAACTATAGCCCTGGCTGGCTTGGCTCAGTGGATAGAGTGTCAGCCTGTGGACTGAGGAGTCCCGGGTTCTATTCCGGCCAAGGGCACATGCCTGGGTTGCAGTCTCAGTCCCCAGTGGAGGGGCATGCAGGAGGCAGCCGGTCAATGATTCTCTCTCATCACTGATGTTTCTATCTCTCCTCCTTTCCTCTCTGAAATCAATAAAGAAATATATCTATATCTATATCTATATCTATATCTATCTATATATATTTTTTTTAAAAGGAAACTATAGCAGTTATAATTCTGTCACATAGTCAAATTTTTAAAAGTTCCATTTCATTGGGAAAAATGATCACTTCTTCCTTTAAATGAATGATAGTCTTATTACATATTATATGATTATCCAGAGTAAGAGTAGGTAATTACAGCAAAATATTTCTATACAATCAGCATTGATAATACTCTATCAAGACTTAAAACAGTCCTCAAATAGATATATAAAGTAATACATGTTATAAAGCATTTCTGAAAGAAGCTTATTTCAAACATATTAACTATGATTTAAAAGCTACCAATACTCAATAATGGCCTTTTAAAGTACCTTTTTTGGAAAGGTTGGGAAGGGTAAATAAAATGTCATCATCTCTGGAAATGGAGTACAGCATGCTTTTTTCCAAAGGTAGTGTGTAGTTTGAATGTCTGAGTATTCCTTGGTTCTTAACTAAAAGATCAATTTCAGTAACATCCTTTTGTTGAGCCTATTAAAAAAAAAACACACACAATTATTCTTTATTTTAAATAATGGTACAATCCCCTAACATTTCAAAACTGAAATTTCCCTCCTAATTTCTGTAACTAAGAAACTTGTCATATTCACACAATTTCTTCCTATTGCTCCCCCCCCCCAAGCATTTAATTTGCAACTTTAATCATACTCCTGTGTGCCAGAGCACTCATTAATATTAATATATGCTTGCTTTTAGTTCTATTTCATTTACTTAGACTTAGCCAGAGGAAATGGTAGCAGTTATGAATCAAATTTAATCTCTTTACTTGTGCTATTTATAATGTTGTTAAAGTGATATAGACGTATGAATATGGTCATTTCTTTTTAAATTAAGATTTCAAAATACTGAATAAGTAAATGCTAAAACAAATAAAAAAATTCTAACTGATTGGATATAGGCAACATTTAGGGTACCTTTCTTTCTATGAAGTCAGAAATAAAAAGTAAAATAATTGAACACATGTATAAAAACTAACACAAATCTTTACAATTTAATTCCCAATTAATAAGCATATTATCTTACTTGTTTTCCATCAATCTCTACTACCTCCTCTTGAATGATAATTAGTCGCAAACTGGAACCAGATGTCATAGGCCACTCTCGAACTAAAATCCTTACACTGACAATTCCAAAATATTCTTTTTCATTTGAATTTTCATTCTTCACTATATATATAAAAAAAAATTGACAGTTTTGAACAAAAAATGCCTATAAATCTGCTATTGAATTTGATTATTTTGATAACATTTACATAGAACAAGAAGTTGTAAGCTGATTTCTTAGGCTCTCTTCATCTCTGAGCTCACTGATATTTCAGATTTATGAAAACAAAGACAATATGGAGGATCATTACAATGCTTACAGTAATTTGAAAGGGAAAACTGCTTGATGGTCTGTAGATTTTGTAAGAAACACCACACTGGCAACATCCTTCCTAACCAACATGGCTTACCTATTTACAAAGCAGGTCAGAAGACACAGTCAATGCCATGTGCAAAGTAAGCACACTGATTAATTCATTCACAAAATCCAGTAATAGGGCTCAGACAATAAAGACAACGTTACTGTTGGAAAAGAAAAGAAAGGAAAGGGGAAGAAAGTAGGAAAGCCCTGTAATTGGTCCCTATTAATGGATGACAGGATAGGATTAGCTATTGTTCATGTTCCTCTCTAGGAACAGGTCCCGCCCAAGTAGACGGGTGTGGCTGTTGTAGCTAGTTTACAGAGCTCTTGGCCTTACTAAGGCAGGAAGTGCTACAAAAGGGATAATTCAACAGATACCAATCAAACTGGCGCAAATGAACACTTAGTTTCTGTCCCTCAAATGTTACCATCTGAGCATTTGCCAAAATGTAACACAGAAGGATATTTTAAGTGCAGACCCAGTGGTTTAAACTGATTCTGTGCCTTTAAAGGGCCATTCGCTTTATCTAGAATGCCCTGTACTTTTTACTCTCCCCCAAACACACTTTAAACATAAATTCCAACTTAGGAAGTTCCAGCACTGTATCCCTACATGCTGAGTTCGTACCTTTTCTGATTTTTAAAGCACTAATGGCAGCTCTTTGCTTATAAACCTGCCTCCGGGACTAGCCTAAATTCCTTGGAAGTATGCATCAAGCTTTTTATTGTATAGCTTTTGTTAAACAGCGACTCCATTCACAATTATAAACAATTTCAAGTAAATATAAATGTTCAAACACCGGGTCTGGTTCTAAATTCTAACTATGCATTAGAAACACCTAGAAAGTAGGGTAACAGAGTCTCATCTCAATCTTAGTAAATCAAAATCTCTAGATAGTATAGACCCACTTTTGTAAATTTTTTAAATAGGTGCAGACATTTCTATAGAGAACCTGGCATTTTAGCTCAGCTGACTAAGTCTTCATAAAACTTCCTCATTGACCTTGCTGTTTCTTTTTTCTTTTGTTTTTTGTTTGTTTGTTTTTTTAAAAAATATATTTTTTATTGATTTTTTACAAAAAGGAAGGGAGAGGGATAGAGTTAGAAACACCGATGAGAGAGTCATCGATCAGCTGCCTCTTGCACACCCCCTACTGGGGATGTGCCAGCAACCAAGATACATGCCCTTGACCGGAATCGAACCTGGGACCTTTCAGTCTGCAGACGGATGCTCCATCCCCTGAGCTAAACCGGATTCGGCTGACCTTGCTGTTTCATTTGTTAAAAAGATAATGGCCCCAAACTTCTCCAAACTGACAAAAGACATTACTGGTAAGTCACAGATTAAAAAACCCACACTTGGGCACATCATAGTAAAACTACTGAAAATCAAAGACAAAGAAAAACAATATTTAAAGCAACCAGGAAAAAAACAGAAAAATAATATTCTCAATGGAGCAATGACACACTGATTCTCAGCAGAAATTACAGAAGATGACAATGGAACTTAGTTTTTGATGTGCTGTTATAAACTATGCTTCCATATCCAGTAAAAACAGGATAAAGTAAAGATGTTTTAAAGTAAAGGCAAAGTAAAGATGTTTTCAGACAACCAAAAGTTTACATAATTCATTGCTAACAAATCTGCACTATAAAAAAAAAAAAAGCCGAGACTGGTTTGGCTCAATGGATAGAGCATCGGCTTGGGGACTGAAGGATCCTGGGTTCGATTCCGGTCAAGGGCATGTACCTTGGTTGCGGGCATATCCCCAGTAGGGGGTGTGCAAGAGGCAGCTGATTGATGACTCTCTCTCATCGATGTTTCTAACTATCTCTCTCCCTTCCTCTCTGTACAAAATCAATAAAATATATTTTAAAAAAAATAGTAAGGGGAATTCTCTATTCAAAGGAAAAATTACCCCAGAGGGGAACACAGAGATTCAGGAAGGCATGAGCAATGGAAAGGGGAACTTTTAGGTTAAACAAATGAGTACTGGACCATAGGAAACGACAACAATCATGATGTTGTACACAGAGTGAAAATGCATGACAATGACACCACAAAACCAGAAAGAGAATAAATGGAGTTTAAGTATTCTAAGGTTCTTGCATTGTTTGGGAAATGAAAAAAGTACTAGTTTATTGATCTCAAGGGTAACCATTCAAAGAACAGTAAATTATTATAAAAACCAATCAGATGAAGGAGAAGGATGAAAAAAATCCCAAAGTATTTGGAAATCAAGCAATCTATTTCTATAATGATTCACAGAGCAAGAAAATACCAAAACAAATAATTTAGAAAACACTGCAAACTAAATGATAATAAAAATTTATAACAAGTACAGGCTATAAGTGCTCAGAGAAAACCTTACTATCTTAAATAGATATATTTAAATATACATCTACATATTTCTCATATTTTTTATTTTATTCAAATAATATGGTACATTCCAATGTAACAAATTTTGTCTTTCAACAACTCAAAGAATTTAAAAGTTAAAAAGAAAAACATGCAGGCATAGGAGTAGAGGAAAGTGAAAACTAAAGAATCAGACAATTTTTTCCCCCCACAACTGTGAAAAGCCACTTCTCCAGATTTTGCCTCTTGTTTATAAATTTCCATTTATCATCTCTATGGACATTCTTACATACTACAGATGCAGTTCCATCAATGCCAATCTCATGATAAAATATGCCAGAAATAACCAATGTAAAGTGAAAACAGAGTGTTAAAACACTTTAGTAATAATGTATATTATTAATTTAAAATAAAAATATATAACATCGAAGAACTGTGTTTTACTAATTTACAATTATTAAAAATAGCAAAATTATGGAAAAAATTTAGTGTACTCACCTATCAAAGTCTGACAGCTTATTCGGGTTACACCACTATTTACAGGGAAGTCATTTACATACACTTGTCCACTCTCATAGGTTATGTTAAGAACAACCTTAAAATAAGCAGCATTACATATGGTTTATAAATGACAACTCTTCATATAAAAAATACATTATTTAAATTAAAACAGGCTGCATAATATTTAGCTAAGTGATATATTAAAAAGAATCAAAGATACAAACCTGTTCTTTAGATACCTCCCCATCATTTTTCAGGGTAGTTACATTAATTCTGATGCTGTTCTGAAAATCAAATATGATATAAATTGAATTGGTATGCATTTCACAAAATGAAATTAAATGTTCTTTCCCTCCTCAATTACATTTATGGTAAAATCACTTATAACATTAAAAGAACATTTGTAAAAACACATCATTTTCATTTTACTGCCTTTTTTATGCTCATACTTACAATTCCAATTTTTCAAATCTATATACCTTTTTTTTCTTCTTCAACTTTACATCTGGCATTTTTATTTTTTCACAAAATAGCATTTTACTTATTTTAAGTGTTTTTATTAATTTCATAGAGAAGGGAGAGGGAGAGATAGAAACATCAATGAGAAACATTGGCTGCCTCCTGCATACTCCTTCCTGGGGATAGAGCCTGCAACCCAGGTATATGCCTTGACCAAGAATTTAACCAGTGACCTTCTAGTACATGGGCCAATGCTCATTTAACTGAGCCATACCAGCTGGACCTTAATGTAACATTTAAAAAATATTTCTACTTTTATTGAATTTATTGGGGTGACATAAAATTATATAGGTATCAGGTGTTCAATCCTATATAATAAAAGGCTAATATGCAAATTGTCCCCTCAACCAGGAGTTCAACTGGGATTTTGACCAGGGGGCGGGGCTGCCCTTGTCCCTTTCTCCGGCTGGCCCCCACCCAAGCATGAATTCGTGCACTGGGCTACTACCTCCATAATAAAAGATCTGTATAGTGTATTCAGATTGTGTGTTCCCAATCCCAAGTAAAGTCTTCTTATGTCACCATTTATCCTCCCTTAACTATCCTCTACTCTCTGCACCCCTCTTTTCCTCTGATAATCACCTTACTGTTGTCTGTGTCTATGAGGGTTTATTTTTTGCTTAATCCTATATAATAAATTCTGCCCTCAGCCTCCTCCCCTCTGACAGCCTATCACGGATGATGACTGTGATATATAGCCTTTATTACACAGACATATGTTCCCTCAATTCCCACTTTGCTGATAGTTTTTATGGCCCGTCCATGAAATTCATGTATTGGCGGTGAAGGGGTGTCCCTCAGCCCGGCCTGCACACTCTCCAATCTGGGACCCCTCAGGGGATGAATGACTGCTTGTTTAGGCTAGATCCTGGGGATTGGGCCTAAACTGACAGTTGGACATCCCCCTTGCAATCTGGACCTGCTGGCTCCTAATATATATATATATTTTAAAAAGAGGTTGAGTTGATTCCAATAGCAGAACAGGATTTTAACATGGTAAGGCCCACGCCATACACTAAACCTGACTTTGGTACACGTCCCAACTCCCATTGGAGCCTAGGAAGCTTTTGCACTAGTGATTCCTCAGAATCAGCCCAGCTTTCTCTTAACTCACCCCCCTACACTAGAATTAAGCTAGAATCACTAAACTCATCTCTATAACAAACCAATAATCAATAAGCCATCAAGTTAATGGTTATACTGTTTTGTATATGTACAAATTCTAGTCAGAAATTTCTGTTTTCAAACTAGAGGACCTGTTAACTGTAGACTGTTATGGTAAGGCCCAGAGATAACTCTCCAATGATGATGATCTAAGAAACTGTTTTATAGCTCCTGCCTTGCAGTAGTAAATACACTGTATTGTTAATAATTAACTGCACTTACATATATCACTTGCCTAGTAAAAGATGGAATTTGTAAAAGACAATTAAAAGACACTAGCATAGTGTATTTTCTAAAGGACCAAGTTCAATTTTAGGGGTTCTTCTGAATGATTACATTTCAGAAGAGATTCTAATCCCTTAGTGCCTCCTGAGGCAAGTTCAGAGCTAGGTCATATTTGTTACTCTTTCTGGGAACCTAACTGAACTGGAAGTTCAGGTTTACCAGCCAGAGTGGCATATACTTAGAAAGTGGGTGGCAGAAGGCACATGCCCAGGGGCATGCAGGAGGCAGCCGATAGATAATCTTTCTTTCTAATCAATGTTTCTATCTCTCTATTCTTCCTCTTTCTCTGAAAATCAATAAAAATCTATTATAAAAAAGAAAGTGGGTGGCAGAACTGAAATTTCTCCTCACCCATTTTCAACTTTTCCTCTAATTTCTTTATTCACAAGACAGAAGCCTGGTACACAAAGTTTGTGCACAGGTGGGGTCCCTCCCTGGGCCTGGCCATAGATCAGGGGTCTGTCTCGCCCAGTCCCATTGGGCGGGACTGCTCGAGTTGCTGGCTGGGGCCTGGGGGCCTGCTGGCTGCCAGACAGGGCCTGTTGGACAGGGCCAGAGGGACATAGGGAGGCACCAGGGGAGGTTGGCTGGCCATGGGAGGTTGGCTGTGGGAGCCCACTGACCATCAAGGGGCAGCTCTTGCATTGAGCGTCTGACCCCTGGTGGTCAGTGCACACCGAAGTGAGTGGTTGAGGGGCCTTGGCATATCATGAGCATATTATGCTTTGATTGGTTGAACAGATGACCAGACACTTAGCATATTAGGATTTTATTATATAGGATAGCCCTCAGGGACACAACCACTTCCTAAGAACCAAGATAATAGATATCTAGTTTAAAATAAATGAGTAACTTGAGGGAAATATATAAAATAGATATTAACACATATAAGAAAATAAGTGTCTTCTGGATGCCTCTTTTTGGTGACCATGTATTTTAAAATTAGAAGAATATACTATAAAATGTTATTAGTTTTATAATCTAACTTCAATTTCTGACAACTGCATATATAAACAAAACAAAAATGTTTATAATCCAGTAAATCTGAATCACTGAGGGGAAATAAGGAAAATATTCCTGACTTTAACAAATTTTCTTTTATCTTAATTTTTAAAAATTCTTCATTGTTGAAAATATTAAATATATCTCCTTTTCCCCCCATTAACTTCTCCCTGCCCACTCCCTCCCAACAAACTTTCTTACATTTAGATTAGGGTAGGTACAAAAATGAAGAGATGAGCAAATATGTGATAAAGCAAGTATAATAAAACCTTAATGGTAGTCTAAGTTTATTATTCAATATGGTACCCATTAACCACATGTAGCTTTCTTCATTTAAATCAAAACTAAATAAGTAAAAATTTTAAAATTTGGTTTTTCGGTTTCATTAGCCACATTTCAAATACTCAATAGACCCAGTAGTCCAAATGGCTACTGTCATGGGGAAACAGACCATACACCATCGTTGCACAAAGTAATATGGGTGACCACTGTAAAATTTTTTCAAATGTTTTGTACATTTGAAACTTTTTACAATAAAACATTGAAGCCCTGGCCAGTTTAATCAGTGGTTAGAGTGTTGGCCTGCAGACCAAAGGGTCCAGGGTTTGATTCCCGGTCAATAATACAATGAAAAAGTTTACGTCAACAGATGTCAGCTTCCCATATAAACATTTCCACAAAATGAGATTCTCCTTCTAGCGAATCCACATTCATTTAATCTATGAAATTCTAAGTTTAGACCTGAACTTCCCAAAACTGGAATGAAGGGGTAGTAATAGAGAACTGAAATGATGAACTAACTAAGAGACCACAGTATGGAGTATTTTCAGCTTGCAGTCAAAATGGATTTTTCTCCCATTATAGGGAAGACTCAAATGTCTTTCGGGTTCAAAAGTGACTATAATGAATCTTTGAAATTGGGAAAGGGGGACAACAATGTCTTATTTGTACTTCAGAAGTTATTTCACTTTTACTTATTGTCTTAGTGATTGCCCACCACCTTCCTATTTTTGACCGGGTGCAACTGTGGTCCACATACACTTTCAGTTGCAAGGGCTTCTTAGGGCTTGCACTGTTGTGGCTTTTCTGAATGCCTCCGCAGAACTGAAACTGTGTTTGTACCGGGGAGAGTAATAGCATAACTCCAAAAAATTAATTAAGAGTGGCATTCATAGTGTCAGTTGTCTCTGAATTCAGAGGATTCAAACCCCGACTAGTAAGAAAGGAGGTACCGGTATTGTCTCTTCCCATTCTGGGAAAACTTTTCCCAACCTAACATTCAACTGATGAAAGGCAAATACTGGTTTAGGTCAGCACGACTCTAGGGCAAAACACATACACAGCCGAAACCGGTTTGGCTCAGCGGATGGAGCGTCGGCCTGCAGACTGAGGGGTCCCAGGTTCGATTCCCCTCAGGGGCATGTGCACTGGCTGCGGGCACATCCCGGGGGGGGGGGGGGGGGCGGGCGGGGTGCGGGAGGCGGCTGGTCGATGTTTCTCTCTCATTGATGGTTCTCTCTATCCCTCTCCTTTTCTCCTTTCCTCTCTGTGGAAAATCAATTTATATTTAACACACACACACACACACACACACACACACACCAAAAAACAACAAAGGTGGGAACCAAACACCCGTCAATACAAGGATGCGATGTTCTCACACTGGAGCTGACCTAGGAAATCACCCACTGAAACAGACCCCCCTCCCCCCGGCGTCTGATCAGCGCCTCTCTGCCAGGCCCCCAGGGGATGCCGGGCAGCTGGTCCCACCAGGAACCGCTGCGCCCGCGCCATCTGCCAAAGGCACGCGGCGGGGTACCTGCCGGCTCCGCCTCCGCCCCCGCGGCCCGGCGCACGGAGGGGGCGGCCGTCCCCGCCGCCGGCCCGTAAACAGATCCTGGAACCGCTCCGGCGCCCTCTCGGATTGAGCAACTCCCGCATTTCCCGGGCGCAGACGCTGCCCGGCCCGGCTCCGCTCAGGGAGGAGCCATTACCGAGGCGGCGGTCACTGGGGATCGCGCATTTTCGACGGCGAAGCCCCATCGGGATGAGGACGACCCCGAAGTTCGGCGTCGCGAGGCTCACCCACACCCGCCAGAGCCCCGTCCGTTCGCTCCCTGCCCCCCCACGCCCCTTCCACATCCCGGGGTGCGTCTCCCCCTTCCTCCTTCGGGAGTGAGGACCGCAGCCCGCGGCCAGCCGGCCTGAGGGGGGGTACGTCTTAGGCGGACACCGCGGTCCCCCGGCCCCGGCCTCCCCGGAAGGTTCCAGACGGAGAGGCGGCCAAGCTGCGCCCGCCCGGTCCTACCTTCGGAGCTCCGGGCGGCGACGCGTCAGGAGGGCCCGTCTTCAGCCATCCTGCGGCCGGCAACGTCGCGAGCAAGAGCAGACGGAGTGCGAGGAGCGCCAGCGGAGCGCCCTCCATTTTGGACTGGCCAACGGCGGCCGGCGAGGTGGGAGGAGGTCTGGGCGGGGCGGGGTCTGGTGGGCGGAGCATGGGGCGGGGCTTGGTGGGGGCGGGGCTCCGACGGCTCGGGAAGAGTGGACCACGCACGCGCGTCACCGCCCAATGACGAGGGGCGGAGTCAAGTCAGAGACGGTCCTGTGGCGTCAATGGACGGGCGCTCTGGATTGGAGGATTTCTCCACCTGCACGAGTGTAAGCATTTTCGTTGCCATTACTTTAAAATTAGTATTATACTGTATATGCACATAGCTATATCTCTGTGACATATATTTACCTGTGTCTATGAAGTGAAAATAACTGCCGTATATCAAAACACTATATACATTAAAAAGATCTATCACGTTTAGCGGGGAAATTTTATCAATTCCGCAGGTCTCGCCCTTAGCTGTACATGGGGAATTTGCCTGGGGCAATTTTAAAAATTACTGTCTGAAAAAAAAAATACTGTCTGGGTTTTTTCCAGGCCACCGAGTTTCTAAAAGCGAGAAGACATCTGTATCCAACGTTGTTAAAAAAGCATATTGTAAATTAGCGTCTGAGAAAAATGCTATAAGATGTTAAAAAAAATATGTAAGATAATGACAGGAATTTAGGAAATAATTGTCAGGGACTGTGAAAAACCTGAGATTTTGCCCTATTTTCAAATTAACAAGTTAGCTTGCCAGTTTCATGGGTGCTGGTGTAAGATGAGTCCCCTGGGTCAGAGCCAATCATTTACTACAGTATAGCAAGCAAACTGCACGAGTACCAGCACATTTGCATCAGTTCTATTGTCAGATACGACGTTATTGGAGGTTATAAGTATGTAAAAAATCGCATAAATGAGGGTCATCAACTTGTAGAGGGGAGTTTGGGGAATAAGCTTTGCATTGGAAACTCTACAAAGGCCAAAAGTAGTTTGTATGTCTTCTAAGTTAAAGGTTATTGACAAAGTCAGTAGAAATTTGGGGCTGAAGCCTACATGTTGGTCCCCCCTCCCCCAAATATACGTTTTTATTGATTTCCGAGAAGAAGGGAGGAGATAGAAACACGAATGATGAGGGAGAATCATTGATTGGCTGTCTCCTGCACACCCCCTAAGGATCCAGCCCAACCTGCACGTGCCGCTTGGGAATCGAGATCTCCCAAATGTTCATAAGGTGATGCAGCCACTGAGCCGCACTTGCAGGGCGTGAAGCCTGCGTTGACAGCTTGTGGCTCTCAGGACCCACCATTTGCTGCTGTAACAAGTGTAGCCTCTGACATGGACACGATCAGACAGGAAAGAACTTCTTGTTAACCATCTTTCTGGGTAGCAAATTGTACGTTTAAAGTTTTTTGTTCAGAGCGACAACCTGACACTGATTAGGAAATGCCGAGTCTTCGGCCCCTTCCAGAACGCGGAAGTAGGTGGCACCGCCGTGGCCCTGGCTCCCACGGAGGCGGCCGGAGCGGCAGGAAAGGGTCGCTCGGAGGCCCGCCTCATCCTTGAGATGGACACAAATAGGACACCAACTCCCCCACAGAGGCCCTTTGGAACGACAGGATTCCAACCCCGGCCAAGACTTTTCAAAAAGGGCCGCGCCGGGGGCGGGCCCCACGGGAGGGGTGACGTCACACAGCGTCGCGCCGCTGATGACGCGCGGCGCGGGCGACGCGGACCGAGCCTGTCACCGCGGGCCGGCGGCGGGGGAGGAGCGGGCGCCATGGCGGTTCTGCTGGAGACCACGCTGGGCGACGTCGTCATCGACCTGTACACCGAGGAGCGGCCGCGCGGTGAGGCCCGCCCGCTCGCCTCTGGCCGGGCGGCGATGACCTTCCTCCCCTCTCTGCCTTGGCGCCCGCAGCCCGGCTCCGAGGAGCGGCCTTGGCTAGAGAAGTGTTTAGGAGGCGCGGCCCTTCTGCCTGCCTGGCGCCGGCCAGTCGGGTGGCGGGTGCTTGTGGTCTTTCATTTTTTATATTTTTATTGATTTTTTTTACACAGAGGAAGAGAGAGGGATAGAGAGTTAGAAACATCGATGAGAGAGAGTCATCGATCAGCTGCCTCTTGCACACCCCCTACTGGGGATGTGCCCGCAACCAAGGTACTTGCCCTTGACCGGAATCGAACCCGGGACCTTTCAGTTCGCAGGCCGACCCTCTACCACTGAGCCAAACTGGTTTCGGCTGCTTGTGGTCTTTCAATGCGTGTGTGTGTGTGGGGGGGGGGAGGGTGGGGGAGCATATCCTGGGGGGCCATATCCAGAGCCCACAAAGTTTTAGCGGCTTGACTGCGCCTTTCTAGTGACAGGAGCACAGCAGCCCTCCTGGGTGTGTAATCTGTGAGTCTGGGTGAAAGCAGCGAAGGTGTGCCCCGGTCAGTGGGCGTGGACATCCTGCCTGCACGGAGCACGAACACCCATTGATTGCCTACTGGGCAAGAGTTTGCCAAGCCTTGGGGTGCATACGCGCCTTCCCATGACGGTGCTGTTTACTATTGGGGTGCTGTTTACTATTGAGAGAATCTGCGCTGGAACCCATTGAACTTTTAAGTGTAGTCTGCAGTGTTTCCCAAAGTGCGGTACGCGTGCCCCCATGGGTACGGGGAGAGTTTGGTGGGGGTACGCGTTGCACCGGAGTTTGGTGGGGATATGCACTGCACCGTGCTTAGCTGCGCCTAATTCTACGTTCTCATGAGTACGAGGGGTACTCAGCGTTACAAAACTATAGAAGGGGTACACATATGTCAAAAGTTTGGGAAACACTGGTGTAGAGGAAGTGTGTGTGAATTGCTATGGAAACAGATTAATTCTTTCTGGTTGGGAGGCGGGGAGAAGTGGAGCGAGCCCCGAATGCAGAACTCTGGAACTCGCTCTTTCCAAGATGAGTGGAGATGAAGGTTTTCTTTGAGTTCGTTTGGAACTTTCTGGGAACAGCAAGTAGCCCGGCGTGGCCGGAAGGGATGGTATGTGACATGGAATGGCAGACTGTGAGTCTGGTGGTATACGTGGGATCCTGAATGGTCTTGTGAGCCCTACCCATGACCAGAGTTTTGGAAGGTTTTGTAAACAGGGTTGAGGCCTGGCACACTTGTTTTGGGAAGGTACGAGGCAGCGGGATGGAGAATGCATCGGAATAAGGGCCATCTGGAGGCCAGGGGAGATTGTTACCATCAGGTCCTGCCCCCAGGGGATGCAGCATCTGCCAAAGAGGATGAAACTCCCACACTCAGCTGTCTTTCTCCCCCCCCACACACACACACACTCACACACTAAGTACTCAACCGTGTACCCATGCCTCCCATCCTATTGCCTCAAACCCACACTCTGTCCTGTTGTCCTTTTGGCAGACTTCCTGCTTCTTGTTCAGAACTCAGGTCAAGTGTGATCTCTGCCGTCTCTCCATTGTTCCTAGGCAGAGTTAGATCTGCTTCTTCTGCTCTGCCTCGATACAACACAGATTTTGTTAAAATACTTATCTGTTGTCCTGGAGTTATTTGCAAGTTTTGTCTCCTCTCGGAATATAAACTCTGCCCTCGCCGGTTTTTCTCCGTGGTTAGAGCATCCGCCCTCGGACTGAAGGGTAGGGGGTTCAGTTCTGGTAAAGGACATGTACCTCGTTGCAGGCCTGATCCCAGGTTGGAACATGTGGGACGTGTGCAAGAGGCAACCAGTTGATGTGTCTCTCTCACTTCAGTGTTTTTCTTTCTCTGTTTCTTCCCCTCCCATCCACTCTCTCTAAGATCAATGAAAAAGTATCCGAGGGTGAGGATTAACAAAAGAAAAGAAAAGAATATTCACTCCAAGAGAGCAGGGGCTGTGCTGAAATAATCTATTTCTATATCCTGAACCCCTCGTGCAATGCCTGACTCTTTTGAGGGCACACATTGAAGGTTTATTATATTGACTAATCCATATACGTGTGTGGTATTAGGGCTTTTTGTGCAAGTGGTAGAAATTCAACTCGAACTGGCTGAAAGAAAATAATTGATTGTCTTGTGTTGCTGGAGTAAGATTGGCTATAAGGATGATTGGATCCAGGGGAATCAAAGGATGTTATAGGGAATTGTATTTGCCATATTTTGGTTTTGCTTTCCTTTGAGTTTGGTTGCCAGTTTTCACATGGAGCAGCACCTGGCAAATGAGGAACTAAGGAGAGAGAGGGTTACTCCACCTAACGCATATGTGCCAGTATTGTAACTAATTTTTTTCTCTCTTATAAAATCAATTAATAAATGATTGCTTATCTCAGATGTGTCAGTTTCCTGCATTAGCTCATCTGCCCAAGAAACCCTCAGAAAAGGAGAATAGCCAAAGCCGGTTTGGCTCAGTGGTAGAAAGTCGGTCTGGACTGAAAGGTCCCAGGTTCGATTCCGGTCAAGAGCATGTACCTTGGTTGCGGGCACATCCCCAGTGCAAAGGGCAGCTGGTCGATGTTTCTCTCATTGACGTTTCTAGCTCTCTATCTCTCTCCCTTTCTCTCTGTAAAAAAAAATCAATAAAATATATTTTAAAAAAAGAAAAGGAGAATAAAATGATAATTTAAAATATATTGCTCTTTTTTTTTTTGCTTTGGATATTTGACCATTTGTGGAAGGTTTTGTATAGTATTTAGAAATTAAATTATACCAACTATGCTTTTACTTGCTTAAAGCATGTTTGTGAACTATGATACATTTATTATTTGTTTTCTTTCAGCCTGTTTGAATTTTCTGAAGTTGTGTAAAACAAAATATTACAATTATTGCCTTATTCATAATGTACAGGTGAGTTGGTGGATATTAGTCATGTTCTTTGTTATTGGAACCATCTAGCAAATTATGTGAATTAATAAAATATATATCCTATATATTATAGAGGGATTTTATCATCCAAACTGGTGATCCTACAGGGACTGGCCGTGGAGGAGAGTCTGTTTTTGGGTAAGTTCTTTTATTTTTTAATGAATAAAATAGAATTGCCTCTTTATAGCATTTAATAGCATATTTCAATCTGCATTTTAAAATATGGTTCAAATTAGATTTTTTCCAAGTTCCTGCAGTGGTCTCCAACCTTTTGGACCTCATGGACCACCAGTTGGTGACCACTGGAAATGAGAAATATTTTGAATTATACTGATATTTCTATAAAGAAATGGCAACCATATATGTTACTTGTACTTCTGTATTTCATGGTGAGAATACTTATATTTTATTACCTTATTGTATGTATTTTCAGTCAACTGTATGGTGATCAAGCAAGATTTTTCGATGCAGAAAAAGTGCCAAGAATTAAGCACAAGAAGAAAGGCACTGTGTCCATGGTGAACAATGGCAGTGATCAGCATGGATCTCAGGTTAGGAAGTGGGTGAAAAGATGAGTTTTGTCTTAAAACGAGGGACTGTAAAAATCCTACAAAGTTAGAATTATCCAGTCAGGAGAACATTTCAATAGAATATATTTGTTATAGGAAAAATATTACCCTCTTTTCTCTTTATAACAAAAATGATATGACATCACAAAAAGAAAAAAAATTATTTTGTTCTTTTAAATGCAAGGCATGTTCATTGTGAGAAATTTAGAAAACATTGCAAAGTACAAAGAAGAAAATAACATTATCCCAATCCCACCATTCATGGATCATCACTGTTCACATTGTGCTGGAAGCTAATTCCAGCATGTCAGAAATGCAAGAAGTTTCATCAAAAAACTGATGGAACTTGGGGATTCAGCAGGGCTGAATACACATTATTATCTACTGTAATGGCTGAAGGGCATTCCCCCACATCCAAAGATTTGCATATATTATTGCCTGTTATCAGACAGCTGAGGGTATTTTAATCTACATGTTACTGCCTCCTGCTGGCCAAACACCTGAACAGCCAAAGGCAGTTCCCCCAATCCAACAATGCCTTTATATACTAAACCTTGGACTTTGATATGTATATCTGCTTTGCTTTAGGACAATTTGTGTTAATAAAGAGCCAATGGGTCCTCAGATAGACAGAACTTGGTTCCCATAGCTAAGCTCCTTTGGCTATCCCATGGATTACAAATTTATATTATATTTCTAGTCTCTTGATTAATTTACAGCAGCCCCTTCCCCAGATATTTTGAACCCTAAAAGCAGCAGAGAAAGACCAAGACTCTGATAACATTGTGGCCAGTTTCCTTTCTGTATTTATTACTTATTTCAAAACAGGCCATGTTGAGCACTTTTCATTCTTTGCTTTCTTTAATATTCACTGAAACCCCATTTGGGGAGGATGCTTTTTCCCTCTCACATGTGAAGAAACTGAACCTTGATTTGGCCAAGTATTTTAAACAATCAGAGCAACATCTATAGTATGTGTTGACATTTTATGTATAAACTTTTTACTCAGTACTAGTAACAAGTGGGTAAGAATCCATTCAGTTAATGTGGAATCTTTCGTGTATTTTTTGTCAGTCTGTTAACTAATTTCAGTTCGAATTATATATATATACATTTGTGTTCTATGTTTTTCTTTATAGTTTCTTATTACTACAGGAGATAATCTAGATTACCTTGATGGTGTTCATACTGTGTTTGGTGAAGTGACAGAAGGCATGGACATAATTAAGAAAATTAATGAGACCTTTGTTGACAAGGATTTTGTACCATATCAAGATATCAGGTGTGGTTACAATTTACTATCTGAATGTACTAGAATGTTTTAATACTGTGATGTTTGACATGCTAGTGATGATATGTGAAAGACTGTTTTTTGAATAAATGTGAATTAATACAAGACATAAGAATCTATGTTTTTACACTTTTATGTTTTTATACTTGTACTAATTATTTATAATTGCATGTGCTGGGAGGAATATTAAGTCTTTAATTTAGTATTTAAAAATGCAGATATTGAAAAATATGGCAAAAGTACTAAGAATTAGATATAATATTTTAGAGTAATACAGAGTAATAAATATAATATCAAACAATCAAAAACAGTAACACTAATTGTGACAGTGTACTCTAGTAGCATCCTGGTGCAATAAAATTTAGGAACTTATACTTATAGTTTTTTGGCTTTAGGGATACCTAGACATTTGTTAAAATATTTGCAAAAAGTAAAACATAGATTCTGAAGCAATGTAACTGTAACATTTGACATGGATTTATTTTGTAAGGATTAATCATACAGTGATTTTAGATGATCCATTTGATGACCCTCCGGATTTATTAATTCCTGATCGATCACCAGAACCTACTAGGGAACAACTAGATGTAAGTTGAGTCCTCTTGTCATTGAATTCACATGCATATTAATGCTTTGCATAGCTTTTGCTTGTTAGCCTATTAAAACATTTCTTCAGAATGCCTATCTTTGAGCAATTATTTTAGGATAAGTGCAGAGTTCTTTTTCTTTTCTATGAAGGCAATTCATTTTTCTAGCTATGTTTTTATCATAATATCTTTTCTTCAGTTTCTGTTCCACCAGAAACTGAAGAAAAGATATCATGAAAGCTTATATGATTACTTAGGGAAGCTTATATGATTACTTAGGGAATTTTTTTTTTTTTTTTTTTTTTAATATCCTAACTAAATTTTAAGAATTTTAGGCTAAATTAAACTATCATCCTTTAAAATAATTTTCAACTGGGACATACTCTGAAGTCAGGCTAGAACCCAGAAATTTCTGTGGAATAATGCACACTTTTTCCTTAGATATTTTAAAGTATAAATTTCTGCTTATGAGATTTCCCTTAAAGCTAACTTATGCTTAGTTTCTAACATCATTTGTCTTCTGCATTCAACACTTAGTTGGATACAGATAGTTTCCATGTAAATGTTTATTTTGAGGTAACAAAAAATTAGATGATTAGTCTGGCTGGTATTATTGAATTAATTTACATCAATTTTTAGAGGTAAGTTTCACATACGTGAAACAAATGAAGTTAATCTATTCTAATGCATCTGATGGGACTAAGAATAAAGCATAATGACCCATAATTTTCTGTTTTTCTAAACTTATATATACACCTATACTAGTATAAGATAAACTTTTGCCTTACAGAGTGGTCGAATAGGAGCAGATGAAGAAATTGATGATTTCAAAGGAAGATCGGCTGAAGAAGTAGAAGAAATAAAGGCAGAAAAAGAGGCCAAAACTCAAGCTATTTTATTAGAAATGGTAAGTAATTTTCTTTGTTCAAATAATTGTTCAGTAATATATTTAATATACACTTACTGCTGGTTTATCTATTTTTGGCTTTTTGATAGTCTTAAAATATAAAAATTTAGCTAAGAGTATTTTTCTGGATTAGATTTTGTGAAAAATAATAATACAGTATGCTACTTTCAGACTGGCTTCTTTCATTTAGCATTATGTGTTCAAGGTTCTTCCATGTCTTTCGATTGCTAGTGCACCATAGTTTGCTTATCCATTTACCTATTAAAATACCTGTTGCTTCTAAGTTCTAGCAAGCATGAATAAAGTTGCTGTAAACATTTGTGTGTATATTTTTGTGTGGACATTTTTTAACTCATTTCGATAAAACCTAGGAGTGCAATTGCTGGGTTGTATGGTTTAGCTTTTTGAGAAACTGCCAAACTAGCAATAAATGAGAGTTCCTATTGCTCTGTCTCATTTCCAGCATGTAGTGTTATCAGTGTTTTGGATTTTAACCTTTCTAATACATGAGCCTGTCCTTTTTTGGTCCTCACTATTATCTTCTATTTTCTAAGCACACCAGTCTCTTATTTGTGTGTAAGTAATATAATGATAATTCAGCTAGTGTTTTGCATTATCAACCAGTGTTTTGAACTTCATAACTATTAAGAGTATTTTAAATTTCTTTGTTATCCTTGACAAGTAGTATATCGAATAGTAAGTATTTTCCTAACATTAAATTTTTTATTTGTGTTTCCTTGAGATGTGATATTTCTACACTGTAGGTGCTTTTGGTGATTTTACTGATTTGCTCTCCCCATATGTGCTGTGATACTTCTTACTGGACATAAATGGTGCTTGTTTTTAATAGGCTTTGAAGACACTGAGCAGATCTTATTGGTGGTGTTTCTTCTTGCTGTTTTCTGATTTTCATGATTTCTTTTTGTTTTAGCATGTTTATTGAAGAGAAAATACTTTATGTGGTAATGTTATGAGAAATCATCTCTGAGAGTTTTTGAATGAAGGAATATTGTTTTCCCCATCTAAAGGCCATGGGAAAATAATTTTCCCACAATGAAACATGGTTTTTTCTCACTTTTGCCCTCACTGCTTCTTCAGTGAGAAGTGGAATGCTCTGCTCAGTGCAGTGGTTGACTGTGAAATTGACTCAATGTGACTGAGGGAGAAGATGATAGTGAGGATGAGAGTAAAAAGCTAGAAACACTCACTATTCAGGAATTATTGCTGTTCATACTGAATTAATAATGTGAAAAGAACTGATATTACTAATCACATAAGGCTAGATTTAATAAGATAATAGTTTTCAAAAGTTTAAAATCAAGCATAAGTAAATAATATCTTGCTCAGGAATACATACCTCTCTGGTAAAACTCTAAAGATATGCAAGGGGACGGCCAAAAAGGAAAACCAAGAAGCAGGATATTCATTATATCTGGTATGAGAGGCAGAGGGATAAAGGAGACAATTTAGTTCTTAAGCTGTTGTCATCATGGCTGTTTTTTATGTTTATGTTTCATAACTTAGATATACTTTACATAAATTCTGTTTTAATATATCAAATAGGAAAAAGTGAAGATAAAATCCAGATAAAGTTGGAGTCAAATCCCACCTCAGTTGCTTAACACTGTGTGGCTTTGGGCAAGTTAGTTATTTAACCTTTTTTTTTTTTTAAAGATGTTTCTGTTTAATTAATTAATTAATTTATTAATTCATTTATTTATTTATTATTTTAATATATTTTATTGATTTGGTATAGAGAGGAAGAGAGAGAGATAGAGAGTTAGAGTTTCTAATACATCAGCCTGTCCTTCTTAGAGTTTCTAATACATGAGAGAGAGTCGATCAACTGCCTCTTCCACACCTCCTACTGGGGATATGCCTGCAACCAAGGTACATGCCCTTGACCGGAATCGAACCCAGGTCCCTTCAGTCCCTAAGCCGACGCTCTATCCATTGAGCCAAACCGGTCTCGGCTATTTAACCTTTTTGAATTTCACTTTCACAACATGGATTATTATTTTAAGCATTATTTTAAGAATTGTCAATAATGAATTTTGAGGTCTTATTTAGATTTATTTTTCTGAACCTGCAGTTTATAATTTAGGTGTTTTAGGAAAACTGACATTTTGATGTGGATAGATATTTAGAATGGAAAATAAAGGAATTGATTTATATTTTTGTTTGTTTATAATTTAGGTGGGAGACTTACCTGATGCAGATATTAAACCTCCAGAAAATGTCCTGTTTGTGTGTAAATTGAATCCAGTGACCACAGATGAGGATTTGGAGATAATATTTTCAAGATTTGGACCAATAAGAAGGTAATCTCTAGAATTAGTGAAAGATTTTAGGAAAACTAGATATTAATTTGTGGTTTCTAATATATTTCTGATGAAGCTATGAATCTAGGTGAATTTTGTACAGGTGAATTTTACAATTGAATCTTTGGGACAAAGGGAAGAAAAATTATGTATGTAATTAATTATAATATATTTCCCGTGAGAAAGGGAAATATAACTAATTATAAAGTATTATTTTATGGTCCTGGCAAGGTGGCTCAGTTGGTTGGAGCATCGTCCCATACACCAAAAGGTTGCGGGTTAGATCCCAGTTAGATGCATACAGGAGGCAACCAAGTGATGTTTTTCTCTCACAGTGATTTTCTCTCTCTCACTTTTTCTCCCTCTCAAATCAATTTTAAAAAATTATTACTATTATGTTTAGAATTTCATTTCATGATTTTCTCCCATGAAGCCATTCTTAATTCTTCCTGTTGAAATAAAAATCTTCCTGTAAATGACTACCCAACTTTATTCCTTCACCTACTTACAATATATTATATTTATAAAAAATATTCCTATACTGCTGCTTTTTATTTTTAAATTTTAGACATATGCTGACTTCCTGCTAAGCAAGATGGGGATTTTAACTCTATTACTAACTTCCCATGTTCATTCTTTCTTCCAACTACTTTGGTTATGTCATAATTTTGGTTAGGTCATTGTTCAATATTTACATTTTAATGTGTATATAACTACTGTAACAGCTGAACTATTTTCTTTAATGTGATTATTTTTCCTTTTTCTTAAAATGTTTTATTTTCTTGTTTCATTTAATGTAAAATGAGACTTAGGATATGTCAGGAAAAGGACAAGACAGTCGTTTTCAGCTCAACCTTATTGGCCCTTTCTCTTGGTTATTAAGGTGGATTAGTTCTGTAGACTAGCTATACTTGTGGGGTTAAATTTGAGCTTGGTTTATATTAAAATTCAAAAACTCCAAAGCATAAACTTATTAAACATATTCTATATATGTATGAATGTGCATACATTATTCTAACAGTAACATTAGATATTTTATAATTTATCTACATATGAGGACTAGAAATGAGTTATGATTTTAAAAACTTTTTAGCAGTAGTTTTGCTACAGGCAAATTAAATATTTTTATTTTATTCTTTCTTTAGTTCTTCAGGAATATAGGGATGCAGGCCTATATAGGGCATTTAGAGTAAAATTAGATAATGTGATTCTTAGGCTGGTCAACTTTTCAAAAAATTGTTATTGGAAAATTTAACTTTGTCTTTTAATAACTGTCTTATTTTGTTCTTCGCTTATGAAGTGTGAGAGTGAATGCGTTTTTAAAAAGTCATTTCTCCTAAACTTTCTTTCAGTTGTGAAGTTATTCGAGATTGGAAGACAGGAGAATCCCTTTGTTATGCTTTTATTGAATTTGAAAAGGTTGGTCATAATATAGATCTATTAAGTTTGGTATTTTTTTGTTTTCACATGGTTTTAAAACGTGAAAATTATAGAACTTATTCGAGTCCCTAACAGCAGCAGTCACAGCAAATGTTTACTGAGTGTTTGGACAGCACCCTGGAAAGAAAGCTGACATGTAAAAGACATTCATGTTGGGGACACAGAACATGTGTGAAAATGATGATAACCACACAAGATACTCGATCAGCTTAGCACCAAGTGTGGTATATAAAGTATGGGTTCTAGCTTTGCTGTCTATTTGTACTACCTGGAGGGTTTTGCAAAATCCTGATGCCCAGGTGTGCACCCCAGACCAATTACATTGAAATCGAGAAGGAAAAAAGGAAGTCAGGCATCAGTATTTTTTTTAAAGCCGGCATCCCAATGCGCAGGAACATTTATGCTTAGTTTTTTATATCTATAGGAAGAAGATTGTGAGAAAGCATTCTTCAAAATGGACAATGTACTTATAGATGACAGAAGGATACATGTGGATTTTAGCCAGTCTGTTGCAAAGGTGAAATGGAAAGGAAAAGGTATGGTGGTTTATTTCTTTTTTTTCTGTTCTGTTTTTCATGGTGTGTGTGTGTGTGTGTGTGTGTGTGTGTGTGTGTATTTTACACTGATGATTAATATATTTTCTATGTTTGACTATATTGTAAATTACTTGTAATTACCCATTGCAGGCATGACATTTTTCCAGAGTAGTTATTATGTTTGTGATGGTTTGGTTCTTCTAGATGCTAAACCCTTAATATGTTTTGCCTAAAGTTTGTTGTATGTTTAGAATTTCCTTTAATTTCATGTCTTTCCCTGTGTATATTTTATATACAATCAAAACACCTCCCTGTGTACCTCCAGTTTACTTTACTTGTACAGTCAGTCTTGGGCCCTTCTGTAGGAAGCCCTCCCACCAGGAACATTTCCTCATTTGTGTGGAGGAGACAGGAAAGGCAGGGCAGCCAGCAGGTTTGGGCCATGGGTAGGAGCTGAGTCCTCATCTGGCAGGAGACTAGGCTTGAGAGTAGAGAGGTTATATGGAATGCTCTCTTCTTTCCTGCCCTGCCACTGTAGGCCAGTCAGGATTTAATAACAGGTCCTATTTTTCTGAAGAGATCTTTGTTGACTTAATTTTTGGCTCTTGGGAGGAATAAAGGTGCTCTTAAGCAAGAATTTTAAAGCAGAGACACCAGCCCCTCCCATCTCGCATCTCTCAGCAAACTTCTACACACATCCTGCTGTCCCTGATCTGCCTGGTGCTCTGTTGAGATTTGGGGACATTGTTTCTTTTGACAGATCACAGGTCTTTAAAGCCTCACTGCTTCCAGACTTGTGAGTTTCTTGCATCTCAGACTCAAGTCCCAAACCTTTAGTTTCCCTTAGATCTAATGTTCTCATGGATATATTGGCTTCACTTAAACAATGCATTATTTTCCAGTGCACGTATGTATGCATTGTGTTGTTTAGAACTTGACGGTATGGTGTTGTAATATTCATGTATTTCATTAGGTGGCAGCATATGGCTACAAGTTAAAATAGTAATGGAGAAAGAATTATTATGATTTTTTTGTTCTCAGCCTTTTTCTAGCCTCTGATCCCTGATATACACTGAGTGGCCAAATTATTATGATCTCTGGACGCATAATAATCTGGCTACTCACTGTATATCCTACATAATAAAAGGCTAATATGCAAATTGTCCACTCAACCAGGAGTTCAACCAGTAGGCAGGCCGGCTTACTGCTCATGTCCTCCCGCCCTGGCCAGGCTGGCTGGACCCTACCCATGCACAAATTTATGCACTGGGCCTCTAAAATACACACACACACACACACACACACAAACACAAACACACAAACACACACACACATACACACACACACACTGAGTGGCCAGATTATTATGCATTCAAGGATCATAATAATCTGGCCACTCAGTGTATATGCCACTTATAAAATTGCTCTTGTATATTATACCTCTTATAAAGTAATTTCTGTTCTTGATTAATTAGGGGGTTTTTCTTACTAAGTTTTTTCTTCTTTTTTTAATAAATAGGTGGAAGATATACCAAGAGTGATTTCAAGGAGTATGAAAAGGAACAGGATAAATCATCTAATTTGGTTCTGAAAGATAAAGTAAAGCCCAAACAGGAGTATCCTTCACAGGAAGCAGTTAGTCTTTATGTGTTGACCATGCATTTGTGTAGAGTACTGTGTGATATGTTATAAAAAGTCACAAAGGCTGTAGAAAAGTCCCTAAGCCAGGGACTTTTCTATATACTGTCTCTTATATACTCACTGTTTTATATATACTTTGCCTTTTTAGTGTATTCTCTATTATGTGGAGAAAGTTAGGGTTGAAATAAATCTTTAGCCTTCTTTTCCCTCCCTACTCTTAGGTTAAAGTTAATACTTATTCGCAGAAGATCTTCAGGTAAGATTCATCTTTTCTCTATATAATTGCAATATTTTAAATTCCTCATAGTCAGAAATTTTTTATTATAGCTAACCAAATCCTTTGTGCTAACCTTACTCGTATGTTTAAAAATATATTTTATTGATTTTGTACAGAGAGGAAGGGAGAGAGATAGAGAGTTAGAAACATCGATGAGAGAGAGTCATCGATCAGCTGCCTCTTGCACACCCCCTACTGGGGATATGCCCGCAACCAAGGTACATGCCCTTGACCGGAATCGAACCCAGGACCCTTCAGTCCCCAAGCCGACGCTCTATCCATTGAGCCAAACCAGTCTCGGCCTTACTCGTATGTTTAACTTTGAAGATGGTGAATATGTAGACAGCAAAATTCTGTCGTTCCTTTACATAATTAGGCTGCTTCTTTCTGCTTAGTACATTGTCAGTCTAGCAACAAGTACTTATTGGGCTTCTCTTGTGTGCAAGAGTTGACTTTTATAGGATTAAAGAAATTCATTGACTTGACCATTTTATTTAGGTTTTTCTAAGTTTTAGGTTGAGACAAGTAAGGAGCAATGAAACATACTGTTCATATTATGTCATTTTAATTTTTCATTGATGTTCTCATTATAAATTTATCACTCCACACATTGTAAAGCTTACTTCTTTTATGATTCTTTCTTTAAATGGTTTCTTTGTTTTCTAGTTTCTGTTGCTGTTTTAGAGTTTCTCTTTTCCCATACTGTACATGGAACATTTCTTTTCCAAGTAGTCATCAAGGAAAGATGAATATTGGGCTGACTGTTATGTACTTACTAAAGGCCTGGTGCATGAATTCATGCATGGGTGGGGTCCTTCTGCATGGCCAGCGATTGGGGCCAATCGTGGGCGACAGCCAGCTGGGAAAGGGACTGCGAGAGGTTGGCTGGCTGGCACCCCCTCATCGGGGTTGATCGGGGGAGCCAGCTGGCGGCGGGGTGGGACTGTGGAAGGTTTGGCCCCGGCAGCAAGCTAACCAATGGCCAATTTGTGAGAAATAGGGCTTCCTCCTCCCTCCTGTCTGGGTCCAGGGTGCAGGTAAACCAGATTCAAGGCTGTCAGGGCCCCAGCAGCAAGGTCTGGATCAGTGTGTGTCATAGTTACCAGCCAGTCATTTGGTCATTCCCTCCAGCCGCTGGCAAGCACTCTGAACCTGGGCTTCTCTCATAGCCCTGGCTTCGTCCAGAGGTCATCTAGAAAGACGTCCAGTTTAATTAATACTTTACACTTTTTTTTTATTATAGACTGGAGGCCTGTTGCACGAAAATTCGTGCACTTGGGCAGGGCGGGGGTGTTCCCTCAGCTCGGCCTGCACCCTCTCACAGTCTGGGACTCCTTGGGGGATTTTCAACTGACAGCTTAGGCCCACTCCCAGGGGTGATCAGGCCTAAACTGGCAGTCAGATATCCCTCTGGCAGCCCGGGAGCCCTCGGGGAATGTCCAACTAATGGCTTAGGCCTGCAGGGAACAGACCTAAGCCATTAGTTGGACATCTCTAGCGCTGCCTCGGAAGCAGGAGAAGCTCTCACCACCTTCGCTGCACTGGCCATGCTGAGCAATGCTCCCCCTGTGGAAGCGCAATGACCAGCAGGTGCAGCTCCTGCGTTGCATATTTTCCCCCTGTGGTCAGTGCATATCATAGTGACCGATTGTTCCTGGTCATTCTGCCATTAGGGTCAATTTGCATATTACCCTTTTATTATATAGGAGGATAGATTTTTAAAACAGTGTTGATTGTTTACAATACATAAAGCATCCTAGGGGTTGAGTGGGTAAAGTCTGCAGTATGTATGCCGACATAATCAGCATGAGGAGAGGCTTTCACTTGCCAACAGACCAAACAGTGAGCTAAGATTTAGTTTCAAAAGATAAACATCAGAGAGGATATGATGGAAATCTTAAAATCATAAAAGGTATGGATGGAATACAGTTGAGATTTATTTATCAAATCTTTAAAATTAACTAAAGTTAATTTTAGGATAAATACTAGTAACTGCAGCTGGAAGGAGAGGAGTGTGTAGGACAAATCAAAGGAAGTACAGTCATAAAGTATAAAGTAGAAGCAGGCGTCTTATCCCGTAGAATTAGCTCAGGCTCAGAAGAAAGAGTATGTGGGTATTACAGTGTTTTGAATTCAAGAAGATAGGTTACTAAGAGTGAAGCAAGGAAACGAGGCATGTTTGAGAGTAAACCTCTAGCCCAGTCCTGTCCAATAGGACTTTGTACAGCGATGGAAACCTACTGTATCTCCACTGCCTTGTATAGCTACTGACATGTTTAAATTGTTTAAATTTAAACAATTACAGTGAACAGTGCCTGTTTTAGGCTTTTGAAGTTGAGGGAAAAGACGAACATGTCCTTGTGTAAACCACTGTTAATTATCCTCAATCGGAATATTGAACAAGAAAAAGGAAATTCATGAGTCTGACCCTGCGCTCTATTTCCTGTCCTGTTACTAAAACAATGCTGGACTTTGCACTCCATTACTGGGTCATGACCAGCATTTTGAAAATCATCTCTCTAAAGCCTTTTGGACAGAGGGAGAAACATGTGAAAAGCTACACACTGAGGTGAAATCATAGGCAAGGACTATTGAATTTGTATCTGAAAAAGGAGAAGATCCAGAAGGTATCCTGGAAACAGTGTGATACGGTGTGCCATAGCGTAAAGGAGAAAGGAAGTTAGACATAAGAGAGTAATAATAGGACAGTGCAGGCTGACTAGCCATCTTACGAAAGTGAAAAGGTGCAGTGGTTTCCTGGTTAACCTGAGGTAGAAATGAGTCACCACGGAGGAAAGCATAGACTTTGGCATCGTGGAAACGGATAGGACACTCTGGTCCCTAGGGAAGTGTGTCTGCGATTGTGCTAGGCCCACACACCGCCAAAATAGCCCTGCGTGCGGGCCTTCCTCATACGCTTTCTTTTGAAAACCACTCTTCTAGCCTTCCTCAAAATCTGTTCGAGAAATTGAGATTATTTTCAGCAGAGGTTATAGTAGTTTATATTTTCTTTTATTCTAAGACATGGGTTAGTTTTATTTATATTAGAGAAAATACCTATCTCTGTATTAAAACATTACCACTATTTTTATAACATATTTATATGGAATTTAAAAAAAATTAGTCATTGTTCTACCATCTAGACAAATGATACTTATTTTTCCTTATTCCTTCAAGATTTGATCTTTGTAAACTTATAATCACTGTATGGTATATATGGTTTTTGCTTTGAGCTTTTCTCACTTTTAATTTTTCAGGAACACCTTCCCAGGTTTTTCATAGCATTAATTTATCATTGTTAATAACTTATTTTATAAAATATGTTGAAATACTATAATATAATTGAATCAATAGTTATTACTAGGCTATTTGATGTTCCTAGTTTATCATTAAAAATAATCCTCTTATGTATACCTTTGTTCATTTGACTTATTTAATTTTTTACATTAAATCTTTATTGTTGAAAGTATTACATATGTCCCTCCTTACTGCCATTGACCCCTTCTACTCGCCCCAGTTCTCTGCCCCAGGCCTTCAGCACCTTACTGTCTGTGTCCCTAGGTTATACATATATGCATACAAGTTATTTGGTTGCTCTTTTTCCAACCACCCCCGCCTTTCCTCTGAAATGCCACAGAATTTTTATAAATTCTTATTTGTATTTAAGCATAGTAACTGTTGGCATGCACTGCTAAATTTTCTCCTAGCAGGTGAGCTAATTTGCTCCTCCAAAGAAGAGTTACATGAATGTACCTTTTATCTTACGTAGCTTTTCTGGCTCTGGAGTTTGTATTATCTTATTTTTTTCCAGTTAAACATGCACCTCATTTTCTAAGTTTAGGTTTTCTCATTATTGACAAATGTTTCCTTATTTTTCAGATGCTTATATTTTAATTTGTGGATATTATATGTCCCCCTCCATATTTTTTGCCCACTTATAATTGTTAACTGCCTATATTCAATCATGGTTTTTTCCCCCATTTTTTTCTATGTAATGAGGGAAAAAAATGAATCTATTTTGTTTTAGAAATAAACTATACTTGTAAGATGCTTTTATTTTAAAAAGTTACCTTTAACTTCTTGGTCTCCTTTGTTCACCAGATTCTTAGGTTTTGATGTATTGCCTATATTCCTTCTCAAGCTTGTCCTTAACTAGCTGCTACAGTGCCAAGTATGATCTTATATTAGAGGAGCAGACAGAAGACTCGAAGTCAAGTCACTCACATACAAGTAAAAAACACAAGAAGAAAACCCGTCACTGCTCTGAAGAAAAAGAAGACGAGAACTACATGCCAATCAAAAATACTAACCAGGTACTGCTAATGTCCAGACCCAGCTGTGGAGAAATAAATATTTTACCCCTTTATAAATTACATCATAGTGATGGGCATGTTCTGAGTCTAAAGTGTAGAATGGTTTCACTGGGTATTGAACTTTAATTTTTAAGAATGTATATCACAAATTATAAAGACTGCTTTTGAATTAACTTAGTATGTAGTTTCCCATTGTGGAGCGCGTGATTTCCATACCACCTGTGGACACTTTTTTGTTCCCATGAAAGCAAGTGTGGTTGTGCTCAAACAGTTCTCACTTACTGTTTTGTCACCAAATGTTGTGTGCTGCACCTAAAACTCTTTTTAAAAATATATATATATTTTATTGATTTTTTTACAGAGAGAAGGGAGGGGGATAGAGAGTTAGAAACATTGATCAGCTGCCTCCTGCACAACCCCTACTGGAGATGAGTCCACAACCAAGGTACATGCCCTTGACCAGAATTGAACCTGGGACCTTTCAATGGCTGATGCTCTATCCACTGAGCCAAACCAGCCAGGGCCACTTTAAGGGTTTAGGATCTGTAAAACGTTTATTCCCTTTTGTATTTTATCTATGAAATGAAAACAGTACTCATAATTGAGCATCTGAAAGCTTTCTTTAACAATGCATTTTTTAAGACAATAATAGTTAAAGTTCCCCCAAAGAAAATTGATTATAAAGAGAAGAAAGCATGTCCAGCCTGCATTTTGGCTCTTAGTTAAATGAAAAACAAACTACAGTACAGCTCCTGCTTTTGTTTGCCATGTGAAGGCATCTGAGCCCTGGTGGAGGAGGAGGTGTCGTAGGCCCAGGTGAGAAAGAACTCAGGACGGGGAGGGTGTCAGGCAGAGACACTACGGAGAGATGCGGTATGGTTGGCAGAAAAGCCAGGTGTAACTTTCCACGCTTCTCGTCATTGGTGTGACCTCAGCAAGTTACTTACCTTTCTGAACCACAGCTTCCTCTCTGTGAAACTGAGATAATTTTATACTTATTTCACAGGCATGTTCTTCAGATTTAGTGAAAAAAAAAAAAAAATGTGTGCAATCATTTTCTACACTGGCTTTTGTTACTACTTTTACTAAAACAGATTACCATGTTTTAAATCAGTTGGAGTACTTTCTCTGTGGTTATGCCATTAATTGGATTCATATCACATAAAAAATTTTTTAAGGATTGCTTTAAAATTTTTTGTTAGTTTTAAAAATCATTTATATGGTTCCAAAGTAAAATCTGCAAAATGGCACAGAATTGAGCTTCTATTCCTGCCTTCTCCACCTTTTCTCTCCCCCTTACTCCTGCCTTGTATAAAATAAAACCATTTTAATATGTTTTATTCTTCATTTTAAAATTTTTCAACAAGCATATATTTTTATATATATTCTTAGCCCCCTATTTTCTAGATAGCAGATATTCTTATTCTTTGCTGTTGTCTAACCAGAGGTAAACCTCCTTTCTACAGCCCTTTAGCTATGTAAAGCTCGCCCTCCTTCATGCCCTGGCTTCTGTTTTTAAGTTACACCTTTGTCAGTCCTTTAAATGATCTGCACATGAATCAGTAATCACTCACATCTTCAGAGTCTTTACAGTCAATGGATACTGTTGTCCCTGTTTCACAACAAAGACAGTGAACACGGAAGAGGTGAAGTAGCTTGCCCATAGTTTTACAGCTCATAAATAGTGGAGGCACAATGTAAGTTCAGGCTTGTACTAACAACTCGACTGCTGTTCTTCTTAGCTGGAATATACTAGTATTTGTCAGTTTTCTTTTCTAAATCTTATTAGTCGAATAAAATTTGCCCCATGGTGTAATATTTTAGTGTGATCTAATAAGAACATCTCTCTTCTAATGTTTGTACTCTATTATAAATTTATCTTTTTTTGTTAATATATTTTTATTGATTTTAGAGAGGAAGAGAGAAACATCAATGATGAGAGAGAATGATAGGCTGCCTCCTACCACCCCTAACTCGGGATCAAGCCCAAATATAGGTTGAGGGTCAACCATTGAGCCACACTGGCCAGCCTACTTAGCTTTTTAAATGGTGGCTATATCACATTTCTATGAATATGTAATGTTTTTCACTAAAAACCCTTAATTATCGCTCCCATCCCATGTATCCTTCAGCCACAGCTCACCATCCTGCACTAGTACATGGAATCGTCAGTGAATCTAGGCCTGAGATACATACTGGTGTGTCTGAGATGAGGTTTAAAGAAAATCCAGACTGGCTGCATTTTAAGTCTGTTACTTCTTCCCCTTATTATGAATCTTTTTTTTTTTTTTTAATTCTCACCCAAGGATATGCTTATTGATTTTAGAGAAAGAAAGGAAGGTTGGAGAGGGTAGAGGAGGGAAAAGTGAGAGAAAGAAAGAAACATGGATTAGTTGCCTCCTGTAGGTGCCCACTATGAACCCACAATCCTATACCCCGAGCAGTAATTGAGTCTGAAACCTTTTTGTTGTATGAAACAATCAAACTGAGCCACCTGGCCAGGGCTTATGAATCTTTTCTATCCTGCTGTTCGCTTACTTAAAACTTTACATTAGCAATTATCCTCATTTGGCACAGAGTAAAAAGCTTCAAGTGCTATTTTGGGGGGAGACTGTTGTTGGTTTTTAGAGAATATTAAGGTAGTTGGCAACTATAAAATTGTTAAATTCCAAATAGTAATTTCCTAACTTTATTTCTCCCTTTAAAGTGTATTAAAGCCCATAGGTGTTTTTTAATTGAGGAAACATTGGTTAATAACATAATTTAAATTTCAGGTGTATAACATTGTAATTTGCTATCTATGTACACTATAGTGGGCTCACCAGTCTAGTTTCTAGTTGTCACCATAAGTTTGACTCCCTTTACCAATTTTGCCCGCCACTACCTTCTACCCCTCTGGTAACCACCAATCTGTTGTCTGTATCTTTGAGTTACAGTAAATGTTTTTTATTTTACATTTTTATTTAATAATATACTAACTTTTTCTTACTATTTTTTTTAATAAAACAACATCCATATATGTAAGATTTAAGTGGGCCCCAATTTTTTTCTATGACACTGATGCTCATCCTTTTGATTTCAGTCTCAAAAAAATAATCATTAAAGGGAATTTTCAATACTAGGTCATTTCTGTGTATAGCTCAACTTTTCATTTGTTGCCATTTTGCTTGGTGAGCATCATTTCCTAAGAATGTTTTAACTTATTTCTTTAAGTTCTTTGTTTTTTATTTAGTGGCAACCTTATTGTTCAATTTGAAAACTTCTCTATTTAAATTTTCCACCTGCGTCTTAATCCCAAAGGTGGTTGCTGTGTTGTTGAGGTTTGGGTTTTGCTAGAGTTACAGGAAATTAGTCCTCAGCTGTGGGTTGCCTGGCTCAGATATATTCATACTGGTTGTCAGTTCTCTGTGGTTTTCATAGGTGTTTGGTAGTCTTATAATTTGGGACTCTATTTTTGCTGTCATTTTAATCCTTTAATGTTATTTTAGTGATTTAGATTTAGCTAAATCTTTGATTTAATTTCAGTGACCAGAGCAAGGATAATTTTTAGTTAAATTAGACTTTTTTTTTTACTTTGAAATCAAGGATTGGGTTGGTTACTTTAAATTGACCAGTTTATGTTTTCTTTTTAGACACATGCTACTTTAATCATCTTGTCGTATGCCTTAAACATACAAAATGATAGAATTGTTGAAAGTCTGTACTGGAAAAGACTTAGAGCTCATCTGATTCATTTCTTTCACCTTAGATATGAGAGCCTGGCCCCACAGGCCATGGACCTTATAGCTTAGTGGGTAAGCTGGAGTTTAATGTTTATTTTTATTCAGTCAGGTGTGGGTTTTCTTTATTATTCTTTATCACCCCCATTTCAATTTTATATTCCAATTATTGATCAATTAAATCATTACTTTCAACCTGGGCAGACCTCAAGTGCCAGTTTTCTTATTTCCGGAATGAGGACGATCTTGTACTCCAAAAGCACTTAGCTCTGTGTTAGCCGATACTTCGAGAGCCTGTTCTAATGTGGCTTCTTCCAGGCACCTGCACTTTCTCCTTCATGCTCTCAGTGCTAATTCTTCCTGCTTTTCAGTTTTCTCTTACACTGCTTGCACTAACCTTCTCACTGCCAATCCAACCCAAACCCTCTCAATCTTTGAGGCTCATTTCAAGTTCTAACTTTTCTATAAAACCTTCTCTGATAAACCTAATCTCAAGAAATGACAAAGACCATCAGAACCTAAAGCTGCCTGGCTTCAAAGCTTGTGTAGCTTTGAAATTACTCCAAGTTGGAGAGGTTTTAAGGTTTCAGTCCATTTCAGATTTTCAGGTTCTTCAATTTTTTCAAAGAATTAAGTACTGCATACCCAACCCACCTTCTCTCATTTTAAACTCTAAACATTTAAGTGCCATTATATATAATGTGCTAGAGATTTTACAGTTATACATCAGCTAACTATCTCTTTAGGTTAAAAGTTTACTGTCTCAACCAATTCAGAAAATAGGTGTCCAGACAGAATTGTACATGGCTACATTTTATATATGTTATAGGAAGCACAAAAATTATCTAAGGATGGAATATTTTGTTAGGAAATAATTTGGAAAGGGTTAAACCAAATACCGATTCATGATAAGAACCATAGGGATTGTGTGGGAAATAATGAATTGGTTAGTAATGTTGTATTTCACAAACACTGATTATAGTGATCACATTAGATCTCTATTCACATACTGCAATCTCCATGTCAGGCGTAATGAACAGTCTCTAGACAGCTATGGAATAACTGAGTCATTTTCTTAAAATTCAGTCTTTAACCAGGGGTATCCATTACTGTAGATTTTGAACCTTGACATTTACATCTTCTTTATAATATCTATGGTGATAGAGGCGAGACCCTTGGGAGTTCAGTCCTTAGGATTTTCCTTTCCTCTGAAAAACTTTTTAAGAAAAACTTTTGAATTTTACACACTATCTCTTGAAAGAACGCTGGCTCTGGTCACTTTAGATTTCAGCCTCTTGCTGAGAGAACTCATTTTAATTAAGGGCAGAATACAAGCAGAAATAGAATTATAATCTGTCCTCTCCTATATGGGAAAAATACTATTGCTATTTAACATAAAGAATAGAACTTTTTGGGGGAGTCGGGAAGGGGGAGGTGGAGAGGTAACCGTATATAACCAGAATTTTTAATATTGCAGTTTTGCTCTAAAGACCTGCTCTAATTTCAATTGGTCAATTTCAGTTTTTTGTTTTTGGTTCTGTTCCTTCAGTTTGGCTGAAATAGATACAAATCAGTGAGACTGATTACAAAAATGGTCAAATCTTTTTCTGAATTATTTTTGCTTTTTAATTTACAAAATGTCTGGCATTAGTGGTAGTGTTCAAATTTGAGCCAATACAACTGCCTGCTAATGGAGGGCTTGTGTATAAGTTTTATTAGCTGGCAGTGATTTTATGAATTCACTTATAATTCTCTTTATTCCTCTGACAGGATATCTACAGAGAAATGGGGTTCGGTCACTATGAAGAAGAAGAAAGCTGTTGGGAGAAACAAAAGAGTGAAAAGAAGGGCCGACCTCAAAATCGAAGTCGTAGCCGATCTCGAGAAAGGGATGGTCACTACAGTAACAGCCACAGATCCAAATACCAAACAGATTCCTCTGAAAGAGAAAGGAGTAGAAAGAGAGACCGAAGCAGGAGTCCCAGGAAATCCAAAGATAAAGAAAGATCTAAGTACAGATGAAACATGAAGAATCAGACATGAGTGGCTAAAATACTTACTCTTGTCTAACTAGAATAGCAGATGTTCAGATTTTGTGTCAAAACAGCTAAAGACTCTGCTTGTTTTTTCCCCTATTTTCTACGTGTCCCCTTTATAGATCAATACTGATTGTGTGGGGCACAGAAAGACAATAAAGAATTGAACATTTTCTTTGTATATTTTTTTACACTAATTTTATTGTTACACATAAATAGTAGTCTTCATTTTCCAAGTCTTCCACATTTTCCACTTTTTAAAAATGAAGTATTTCATATCTATAAAAACATACATGTGTATATAAGGTATTAAAAATAACTATCTTTGTAACCTATCAGCCAGATTAGGAAATGAGCATTTTGGAAGTCCCTCTCCTCAAGTAATTAATATGGATTTTATGTTTGTTATTCTCTCACTTGTTCTAGTTTTACAATATATGTATCCCTAAATGAAATGTTAAGTTTCGTATGTTTTTGAATTTTATATAAATAGCTTAATGTATGCTCAGTTCTATGACTTGCTTTTTTTGACTTAGTCCTTTTTGGGAGTTACTCTTTTTTTAGTGCCGGATAGTTCTATGAATAGACCGCAGTTTATCCGTCCTGCTGTGGAGGGATGTTTGGGTTTTGTTGGTTTTGTTTTTGCTATTGCAGACAATGCTGCTATGAACATTGTATATCTAAGAGGGACACTGCTTGGCCATGTGGTATGGAAGTCTTCATTTTACAAGATAATGTAACTCTTCTGCATGGCTGTACCAGTTTATACCCTACCAGCACCATGTGAGTTACCTTTCTTTCACATTTTCTCCAACACTTCTTAATTCTAGGCCTTTTTGTTTTGCCAGTCTCGTGGAGGGGAACTGGCATCTTATTGTGGTGTCCAGAAAGAGCACTATTAGTCCTGCCTTTGTTCTTCTATAAGTAATGTGTCCTTTTCTCTATTTCTATCTTTGTTTTTGTTTGTCTACATGTAATGTGCCTGCTTTTACTTTTTTGAGTTTTAAGCAGTTTGATTATGATGTGCTTGGAGTATTTTTTTTTTTCCTTCATGTTTCTTCAGCTGGGGCTCTTTACCTGAGGTTTTATGGTTTATGTTTGGCTATTATTTCTTCTATTATTATTATTACTACTATTATCATCTTTCCTGTCCTCTCACTGCTTTCCCTCTGGGATCCAATTGTATGTTAGGCCACATTAAATTGTTTCATAGTCTGTTGTTTTTTTCTTAAAAGTCTTTTCTCTTTGTATGCCAAGTCAGACATTTTTCATTATGTCCTCAAATTCATCAGTCTTTTCTCCTGAAGTATCTGATAATCCCACTCAGTGTTATTTTGACCTTGGACATTCTATTTTTAAACTTTTTTTGTTGTTAATCCTCATCTGATATTTTTCTATTGACTTTTATTTTTAAGAGAGAGTGGAAGGGAGGGGGAGAGACAGAGAGAAACATTGATGTGAGAGAGATATATCACAGGTTCAACCAAGGCCAGGGATTGAGCCTGCAATTGAGGTATGTGCCCTTGACTGGAATCAAAGCTGGGACCCTTTAGTTCACAGGCCAATGCTCTATCCACTGAGTCAAACTGACTAGGGCTGACATATTTTTAATCTTTTTAAAGTCTCGTTTTGCTTTTTTATTTTTTATTTTTAAATATCTTTATTGATTTCAGAGAGGAAGGGATAGGGAAAGAAAGATAGAAACATAATGATGAGAGAGAATTATTGATTGGCTGCCTCCTGCACCTCCCCAATGGCGATCAAGCCCACAAAGCAGGCATGTGCCTTTGACTGGAATCAAACCCGGGACCAATCAGTCCGAAGGCTGTCACTCTTATCCAGCTAGGGCCCTTTTTTTTTTTTTTTTTTTTTTTTAATCTACCACAAATGGCCCGGTGCATGAAATTCATGCAGGGGGCGGTTCCCTCAGCCCAACCTGCACCCTCTTCAATCTGGGACCCCTTGAGGGTTGTCGGAAATTCCTCTCACAATCCAGGTCTGCTGGCTCCCAATCACTCACCTGCCTCTGCCTGATTGCCCCTAACTGCTTCTGCCTGCTAGTCTGATCAACTCCTAAGCACTCACCTGCCAGCCTGATCAACATCTAACTGCTCCCCAGCCAGCCTGATTGCCTCTAACTGCCCTCCCCTGCCGGGCCTGGTCACCACTAACTGCCCTCCCCTGCCAGTCCGGTCACCCCTCACTGACCTCACATGCTGGTCTACTCACCCCTAACTGCGCTCCTCTGAAGGCCTGGCCCCCCAAAACTGCCCTCCTCTGCTGGCCTGGTCTTCCCCAATTGCCCTCCTCTGCTGGCCTGGTCACCCCTAACTGCCCACAACTGCCCTCCCCTGCAGGCCATCTTGTGGTGACCATCTTATGTCCAAATGGAGGCAGCCATCTTAGATGGCGGTCAATTTGCACATTACTCTTTTATTAAATAGGATGTCTTAACATGCTTGTGCATTTTTTTATATTTTGAACATCTGGAGTATCTTTGTAATAGGTGTTTTAATGTTCTTGTGCATTCTGTCATTGGTTGGTTTCTGTTGGTTGATCTCCCCCCACCCTGCCCCCTCATTGGGTTATAATCTCTGCATGCCTGATTTTTTAATTTTACTTTGTTAGGTGCTAGAGTTTTTTATATTCCTTTAAATATATTGAGATTTATTCTGGGACATAATTAAGTTACTTGGAAGCAGTTTGATCCTTTCATAGCTTCCTATTAAGCTTAATGAGCTAAGACTAGAAAAGCTTTAGTTAGGGCTAATTCCAGATAAGCCTTAGGTAATAACCTTTCTGTATAATCTGCCCTGCCCTGCGTCTGGTCTGGTATGCAGTTTTTCCATTCTGGCTGTTGGGAATGAAAGCTATTCTAAACCCTGTATGAACTCCCTGGTTGTGTCAAAAATGTCACTTTTAGGTGTTGGTTTGTTTTTTTAATCTAAACTCAATCAAAATTCATGCACTGCATGTTGTTCTTGTCAGTTTATTCTGTTAATCTTCCAGAGTTTCCTACCCATCCATCCATCTCTACCTCCCTTCTTTTTAATGATATTGACATATGTTTAAATTTATTGTTGAAAGTATTACAGATGTCCCTTTGACGTTGACTTTTTGAAGAGTTCAGGCCAGTTGTTTTGTAAAATGTTCCATTTCTGGAATTGATGGTAGCATCATGGTGTCTTCTAACCTCTTTATTTCCTGTAAACTGGAAGTTAGGACTAGGTGTCTGATTAGAATTGGGTTTTATATTTTAGGTAGAAATGTTTAAGTTTAATGTCAAATTTATTTGCTTTTCTCAGTGTGTTTTGGGCCTTTTGTATTTTGTTTAAGAAATCCTTAATAAAGATATTCTATATTTATATATATATATTTTTAAATCAATCTTTATTGTTCATATTATTACAAAGGTTCCTCATTTCTTCCCACCCCACTCTCTACCCCCTCCCAATCCCCCATTGTCCTCATCCATAGGTGCACAGTTTATGTTCAGTCTCTTCCTCCCTCCCTTTTCCGGAGAACAGTCAGTCCACTCCCCTCCCATAAATGGACACATTGTTTAAACATAGCTGCTGGTTGGAATTGGATTACCTGTTCTGGGTGGGAAGGGCTTGTCATTCCCTTTAAAATTAAGGTGTTAGCTTTAAAACCTTTTTTTGGCAAGAGACCTTAAACTTTCAGAACTTTAAAATTTTCAGATAGTAAATCAGTTACTTAGCATTTTCTCAAATCAATAATACTTCCACATGCCCAAGGATACACTTCACACAAAAGACATTTCCAAATAGATCAACCAACCTCATCCAGGCCCCACACAAGGCACTCACAGATCAACACCCCAGTGCTATACTAACTCAACACAACCAGATCTAAGCCTTCCTCATTTGATTCAGCAGACCCTCAAGTTCCCCCAAAAGTTTCCAGCCATGTCTGAGAGGTAGCCTTGGGGCGGAGGCAGGCGAGGAGCGAGCTGTTCCGTGCCTGGCTGCTCCGGGCCTGGCCTCTTGCTCTGGTCTGTTCCACAACCAGCTGCTCCGGGTCTGGCCACTGCCACTCCTGACCTGGCCGCTCCGGGCGTGGCTGCTGCTGCTCTGGGCCTGGCTGCACCTGACCCGGCTGCTGCTGTTTCGGGCCTGGCCACACCCGACCCGGCTGCCCTGGGCCCGACTGCTCCCGGCCTGGCAGCTGCTGCTCCAGGCCTGGCCGCACCCAACCCGGCTGCTCTGGGCCCGGCTGCTCCGGGCCTGGCCTTTCCGGGCCTGGCAGCTGCTGCCCCGGGTCTGGCCGCACCCAATCCGGCTGCTCTGGGCCCCGCTGCCCCGGGCCCAGCCGCTCCGAGCCTGGCTGCTGGCCTGGATGCTCCGGGCTTGGCTGCTAATGTTCTGGGTCTGGCTGCTTCCGACCCGGCTGCTCTGGGCCCGGCTTCTCCGGGCCCGGCCACTCTGGGCCTGGGTGTTTCTGGACTGGCCACCCTGGGCTTGGTCGCCTCTGCCTCAGGCCTGGCTGCCAGTGCCCCAGGTCTGGCTGCTCCAGGCCTGGCCATCGCTGCCCTGGTTCTGACTGCTGCCTCTCTGGGGCCCGGCCATTGCTGCTCCAGGCCCGGCTCCCCTGAGATTCCGCCTCACAGCCCCGTCTCCCCCTGCCCGAGCCTGGGTCCCCAGGGTCTGGCCCATAAATGGGGCTCAGCGCTGCCAGTTCTGGGGTTCAGCCCAGGCCAGGGTTTTTATTTCCTTCCTGCTTGGGAACGCCAGGCAGGCACCCAGCCTTCTCCTCCTCTCCAGCTACTTCCTCCGTGCGCGCATGTCTCCATACCTTAGGATTTTTCAGCTCTGATTTTCCTTCTGGTTGTAGAATTTCCAGTCAGTCAACTACCTGTAGCTCTGGGCAATGTCCACTCTACATTTTAGTTGTATTCCATTGAAATTGTTGTGTGCTGCCGCGGTTAGGTGTCTACCTGAGCAGCCATTTTGGTTCCTCTCGATA